ACATTCGTATCAAAAATCGAACAACATTCGTATCAAATTAAAATCAACCTTTTTGTATCAGATTCATAATAACCATCCTTAACCCGCACTAGCTATAGAAACAAGCTGTCATGGCAAGCTGTCATAGAGAGAGAGAAATAAAGAAATATTATCCGGTATTCGCGCATTCTTAGGAGTTTTATCTATCCCCCCCTCCGCCAAGCTAGGAACCATGCCAAATCCCGACCAAATTGTCAATAGTCCAATTTCTCAGTCGTATTACCCTGGGTTAACTCTACAGTTAACCCTAATTCCAGTTTCTTAGACCTTCAATACCCTGTGTTACAATCAACTCTAGAGTATAATTACCCAGGGTAGAGAAAACTCAGGGTAGACCCTGATTTTTACCCAAGTCTATTAGATATACCCATGGGTAGAATGCGCAAACAGCTAGACCAGAAAATAAATAAAAGATAATTGCATAGTTTAGAAAAGTGAAATAATATATTTACAATAAAATATAACAAAATGATATCACTTGAAAAAAAAATGAGTTTTTAAGCAGGGAATTTTTCTTTATGTCCATCCATTCTTTCTTGCAAAATTGATGCCTGAAAAAACTTTATATTTTTTTGTTGTGATAAAAACAAGAAAATCATGATTTAAAAAAAAAAGTTTTTTCTTATTATTTCTTTTAGTTTTTATTAAAATTTAAAAAATTAAATTTTTATTTTTTCATTTTATTATAAGTCCAATAAGCAACGACGACTTTAAAACCCAACACATGATTTGTTGACGTAATTTTATACACATGCAGCGCAATAAGCAAGTTTTATGTATTTACCCTGGGTATGTAAATTCTTCAAGAAAAGTATGCATTATTCTACTCTAGAGTAATTTTGGGCTACCCAAGGTAGAAATTGTTCAAGAAATTGGAGAAAATTTCTACCTTGAGCCCGAATATTTTCAAATTTACGGTCGTATTTAAGATGTCCTAAATACGTCTCCGTACTCTATAAGTGTTTTTCCGCTAGATGTCTCCCGTTAGTTATTTTCGGACAGACAGACTTACTCACGTCATGGTTACTCACATAATTTTGCCGTGAGTTAACCTTATCATAGATGTCAGCACCTGCACACAATACAACTTTATAAACACAGGGATAAATAATAATCACATTTTTAATAATACAGTTTAATTCAAAAAGTCAAATTTTAATCCGATTTTGATAAAAACTAAAAAAAAAATTTGATAATCTGTAGTTTTATTTTACGAAAAATATTATAATCCATGAATTCTTGAGAACTTAATATTTTTGAAAGTCATGCAATAAAAAGCATCCCTGAAAATGTATTCACGCAGTGAATTGAACAGCTTTCTATTTATTTTAGTCTAGGGGTCGCGCGGCGGCGCTGTTGCAGTTTATGGTCGGACACTAAATGTTGTAGAAAATCCCATTTAGACAGTACTTAATTCCTCCGTATTGAGGACGTTAGTAAGTGGAGACGTCATATGTTTGCAAAAAGTACGGATGAAAATATTCGGGCTCAGGGTAGAAGTTAACTCTAGAGTAAATCTACTCTAGAGTTTACTCTAGGGTTTTAGAAATCTTTAAGAAATTGGACTAATATTAGGTTATCAGCTGATCGTTTAATCCGAAATAATGAAAAGATAAATTCACCACCATATGGCAGATTTGTTTTCTGACTTTTTCAAATTGCTTTTACAGCTATGCAATATACATAGTAATACTGTTCATTTAAAGCAAATTAGGTTTCCTATTGTATAAACGTGTGGCATAGTAGTGGCAGTAGCAATTTTACAAATTTTTTGCTCTTCAGTCTGGCTAATTTAAAACAGCTGACTTCTTCTTACCAGACCTTAGTTTTGTTTTAACTCGACCTCGTACTCTTAGTTAGTTTTGTCTAACTTAAAAGACTTTATTTACAGTTGTATTCTATTCAGTTTCATTACAAACTTGGAATACAACATAGCCATAGTTGAAGAGTTTCTAAAATATATGTAGATTAACTTATAGATAGTACGGTAAGGCGGAGATTTACTAGAAAACGCTTCTTAAAATCCCCATCCTCGAAGCATATAGTAACAACAGCATTCCTTTATCTACCCTAAAGATAAATTCTACCCTGCTCTGAATGTATTAATCCATACTTCACCTGTCCCGACTTGACACAGTAATTAAATTATACTCTCGACCATTCTTTTCATTCCCAGTATTCGCAGAATCATTATTTGAAGGGGGAGAAGCAAGCTTGTTATATTTATAAGTTTGTAAGGGGAAAATAGAATTTCAAGCCCCCCTCACCCCTCCCTCTTTATAGAAAGTTAGTAATTTAAGTAAAGTAGTTTATTCATAAATTATTACAACAGATTATAGCTCACACATCCCCAAATTAGGATTTTCAAACCAAACGACTAAAGTTATAAGTAACGTTATAGCCAAAGGTTTCGTGTCCAGTAGTTCGGCTGGATAAACAAACACCAATTCTGACTACTTCAATTTTAAAGTAATAAAAACTATGCAATAAATACAGAGGTTAAGAATAAAGTAGGTAAGGAAGATAAAAGGAAGCAATTGGAAGAAATTGGAAGAACTAGAAGTAATTTGTAATACTATCCAGATAAATAATTAAATCTCAGTAAATTTTTCTTGCTTTAGTTTTTTCCGCAAGAGAAATCATTAAATATGAAAATTAGAATAAGCAGGAAAAAATCACTTCTCAAGATTACGCAGACAAACAGGATTTTGTGATGATTGAATTTGATCAAAACTAGTTATTTGCAGAACTGATTTTTGAGAAGATTTGCAAATATTTATTTCTGGCATCATGATATCTGTAACAATATGTAAAATGTCTGGTAATTCTGTGGTATTATCAACTTTTACAGAGGACAAAGTAATTTGTGGGGGTGTAGATTGTATAAGTCATAATAGCAGAAAAACTTTTCTATTCGTTGACAGTTTTTAGTTCAATAGTTCAAGACACCAAATCAAATTTTAAAATATGTTAACCATCTTCGATCTTACCCGAAAGCTAAACGCTATATGCTCATTGAAAGTTTAAAATAAATTCGGATTCCTCCTCCCCCATGCAGAGGTTTAACACTATAACGCTATACGCAAGCATGCATCCAATGCGTGATTCTGTCCGCGTTCTTTGTATATGGAATGGGATACAGCCTAGTAACAGTCCAGTTAGTCCTTGTGAATAGTATAGCGAAAGGAAGGGGGGGGGGGGGAGGAGGCTTCAGAATAATATTTATTGTTTATTTTTTAAATCTAAATTCAACGGCATGTGCAAATATAAATAACAAAAAAAGTGTGGTGAAGGTCAGCCCCCGGGGCCTCCCTCCCGGCCCCCTCCCCCTCTGTACTGTTAATTCTCACCCCATATCTGCCCTTTCTACTCTATACAATCTACATCATACAGTTCTACTGAATCAAATCGTAATACTTAGAGAAGATACTGCTGTCGTTAGAGAGTTGTATAATAAGTTCAGTTTCAACGTTTCAGACAATTCTCTTTAGCAATGTAAGAAAAAAAAACATAATATGATTTATATTTTTTAGATTGTTAGAATTGTTAAAACGTTTTTTTTGGGTCTGTCCAAGAGAACGCCCCCCCCCCCCCCTCCTATCATTTTTTACATAACCTAGATTTCAACTATTTTCAACAAAAAAATATAATTAAAATAAAATAATAAAAAACAAATATTTATTTTTTATTATTTTAGGGTTAAATTTTAGGTTCAAATAATTTTTGGGCCGAGCGCTGCGTTCAGAACAGACCTTCAATTTCAACAGTTTTCAACAAAATTATTAAATGTTTAGGGTTAGGTTAGGCTAAGACACTTTCTGGGCCGAGCACTGCAGCAAGGACATGCTAGGGGGCTGAGCGCCGCGGCTAGGACAGGCTAGGGGCCACATGACCAATTTAATCCTTGAGTTTTAATATGAGATGCATGTACAAAATTGATAGGATAGGAGAGGAGGGGGGAGTCCAAAAATCGTTCTCTAGGAAATTACCTTTTTGTTTTGTTATAAGCGTTTCTAATCTTTAAATTCTTGAAATCATTAATTCTTTCAAGCAGCGTTTCGGATCCGGATCCGGTCGGATCCGTATCATTTGGTCGGATCCGGATCCGTATCAGGAAACGTTGATATGATTCCGGGTAGCGCCAAAAATTAACCAAAACCATGGAATAAATAAATCAAAATGGTTCGTAAATGTATTATTTACAGGACGAAAATCTTTTCAAAATTATCTTTAATAATTTAATGTTTACATTTATATAATAGTAATGACGACATTTTTAACTTTAGGATTACTCAGTTACCTCGGATCCGGATCCGGATCCGTATCAGAGTCAGGATCCGGATCCGCATCTAAATGATACGGATCCGAAACACTGCTTTCAAGTGAACTAACTGACTTGGGCTGCATTTACGTTATGAATGAAAAAGAAACCCAAATCTAGGACAAAAAAAATATGATATACGGTATTGCAGGTTCATGTGAAATTGAAAAATAATGACTCTGGCGGTGCCTTTGGAACTTATTTATAGTAAAGAGGTGAGTAACTATCTTGGCTACGAAAAAAGATCTTTATACTTTTAAGATATTTAAAAATATGCGATTAAGCAAAGAAATGCAAATAAGTAATTTTAAGGATTTATAGAAAATAGGAACGTAGAATAGAACTATATTTATTTCTTGCGTGATAGTTAATGTCATTTAACATCGGGTTTTATGTCAACACTAGTCTTCCCCTCCTCTCCTTCAAGTTTTTGCTATACAGCTCTAATTCCTGTTTCCTATCATTGCCTATCAACTAGGCACTTGATTTTAAAAACAAGTAACTAAACCGGACTGATTGCAAATAAAAATGGAATCGTTAAGGAAGGTCCGAAATTGTCGGATTGCCCTTGGAAGGTTAAACAAAGGGGAAAGTGGAGATGGCACATTTGATGTAGGGGGGGGGGCCCTGCCTTTATTTTTGGTTCAAATCTTCCAATTTTTTGACTGCACGCCAAATTAGTGATCGAAATTCCTACATTAAAATCAAATTGAATTTTAATGAACTCTAATGACCTCCACAAATAGAAAAAATTTTAACTATGGCTTTATGCATATCAAACGAAAGCTAGGAACCCAGGGAATACAGTAACAGCAACAAATCCAGTATTTGACCTTCTAATGACCTCTTACGACCTCTAATGACCTAAATGACCTCAAAAAATGAAAATGTTTTAACCATGGCTATTATGCATATCAAACGAAAGCTAGGAACCCAGGGAATACAGTAGCAGCAACAAATCCAGTGTCTGACCTTCTAATGACCTCGAATGACCTAAATGACCTCCAAAAATGAAAATGTTTAACTTTGGCTTTATGCATATCAATTAAAATCTAGGAACCCTAGAAATACAGTAGCAGCAACAAATCCAGTGTTTGACCTTCTAATGATCTCTAATGACCTCTAATGACCTCCACAAATAGAAAATATTCAACTATGGCTTTTATGCATATCAAACGAAAGCTAGAAACCCAGGGAATACAGTAGCAGCAACAAATCTAGTTTTTGACCTTCTAATGACCTCAATGATCTCCAAAAATGGGTAACACGTTTACACAAAACAATTTTGTAACAATGAAAATGTGATCAAGTACCCCCAAAAAAAATAAATGCTTTAATTTGCAACATCAAAATAAATAAATCAAATTGTGTCACAATAATTAAAACACTAGTGACACATGTTTCAAATAAATGCTTTATTGATTAAAGCAATCCAAATAGATTAATGATGACACCACTACTGTATTGTCTGGTTTCCTAGCTTTTGATTGATATACATAAATCCTTATTTAAAACATTTTCAATTTGGAGGTCATTAAAGGTCGTTAAAGGTCATTAGAAAGTCAAACATTGGATTTGTTGCTGCCACTCGATTCTTTGGGGGTTACTAATATTTGTTTGGCATGCCTAAAGCCATATTTAAATATTTTCATGGAGGTTATTATAGGTCGTTGTAGGTCATTAGCAGTTCAAACACTAGATTTGTTGCTGCCACTGTATTCTCATGTTCCTAGCTTTCGTTTCAAATAAATACTATGAATAAAACATTTTCAATTTGGAGGTCATTAAAGGTTGTTAGAAAGTTAAACATTGGATGCGTTGCTGCAACCGTATTCCCTGGGTCCTAGCTTTATTTTGATGTGCTTAAAGCCATAGTTGAAACATTTTTATTTTTGGAGGTCATTTTAGGTCATTAGATGGTCAAACACTGGATTCATCGCTGCTACTGTATTTCCTGGGTTCCTATCTTTCGTTTGATATGCATACAGCCTTAGTTAAAACATTTTTATTTTTGAGGTCATTTTAGGTCATTAGAGGTCGTTAGAGGTCATTAGAAGGTCAAACAATGAATTTGTTGATGCTACTGTATTCCTGGGGTTCCTAGCTTTTAATTGACATGCACAAAGCCATAGTCAAAGCATTTTCATTTTTGGAGGTCATTTAGGTCATTAGAGGTCGTAAGAGGTCATAAGAAGGTCAAACACTGGATTTGTTGCTGCTACTGTATTCCCTGTATTCCTAGCTTTCGTTTGATATGCATAAAGCCATAGTGAAAGCATATTCATTCTTGGAGATCATTTAGGTCATTCGAGGTGGGAAGAGGTCATTAGAAGGTCAAATACTGTATTTGTTGCTACTACTGTATTCCCTGGGTTCCTAGCGTCAGTTTGATATTCATAAAGCCATAGTTAAAACATTTTCATTTTTGGAGGTCATTTAGGTCATAAGAGTTCGAAAGAGGTCATTAGAAGGTCAAACACTGGATTTGTTGCTGCTACTGTATTTCCTGTATTCCTAGCTTTCGTTTGATATGCATAAAGCCTTAGTTAAAGCATTTTCATTTTTGGAGATCATTTAGGTCATTCGAGGTCGGAAAAGGTCATTAGAAAGTCAAACACTGGATTTGTTACTGCTACTGTATTCCTGGGGTTCCTAGCTTTCTTTTGATATGCATAATAGCCATAGTTGAAATATTTTCTATTTGTGGAGGTCATTAGAGGTCATTAGAGGTCATTAAAATTCAATTTTATTTTATTTTAGAAATTTCGATCATTGATTAGGCGTGCAGCCAAAAAATTGGAAGATTTGAACCAAAAATGAAGGCAGGTCTACATCAAATGTGCCATCTCCACCATCCCCTTTATATAGTCAATAATGTTTAATTAATTTTATTCTTCAATTTTTGAAAAGCCCTTAATAATTTAACATAAAACACTTTTCACGGTCAGTATTTTTACATTTTTATGAATTGTGGTTTTCATTTATAAAAACTAGTATGCCTCCTCCAATCTTTTTCTCCGATATTTTTTAAGGCTAAAATCTTATTCCTGAAATTTAATGATAAAAGTAGAATTATCATTTGATTTTCTTCCTCCTTTTGTAAAGGTTGATATAGCTGATGAGGGGATTGATGAAATGGAAGAGGAAAGTCAGGACTCTCTTCAGATCGATGAGATTGATTCAATAAAATCTCTGATCCAACATTTCTCCAGTCGTCATCTTCAGTCCTCATGGAAGGTTTGAACTCTCAATTTTGTGAATTAGCAATAAGAAAAATAGTAAAAAGAAAATCTATGAACTTTGTTTTTGAAATTATAATTATTTACAACTTTTTTACAGGGAAGTTCACGGAATTTTACCTAAGATTCCCAATAACAATTATATTGTCTTTTCAGATGAAATTCGTAAATTTTTTCATTAAAAATTCATAGTGGATTTAACATTTAATTATTTGTCTCAAAGGATGTTAAGTATCTTAACGTCCCTCTGTAAAGATAATACTGGTCAAAAGGCGGTTAAAATGGATTAAATTTGTCTGAATGGATCCATAGCTGCAGAGCACTGGATTGTTAGTTGATTGAATTCTTATTGCAGGTAATGAGTGAGCACAACGAATATTTCTCCTGTTTTCTCCGGACTCATTATACTCTTATTAGAGGAGACGGACCTCTACCTGCACACGTCAGGTTAGGAGCTTCAAATATCATATCCAGCAAATCAAATAAAAAAAAATTCCTTTCAAATCCTCCCTTTTCCAAAAAATATTATTTGAGTTGACATTAGTAAGGTTAGCAGTTAACTTTTGTCCCTTTTAAGAGTGAATTATTATCACATTTATAACCCTTTGAAAAAATACAAAATAAATCATATATAAAAATTTCAGACATTTCATCGCTATCATGGCGGCAGGTGCACATAGCTGTTTTCCTCTTGTTGAATTGCACAAGGTAAGCACTTAAAATTAGAATTGCCTAGTGTAAACTAGATTATTCAACTAGGAATAGAATAAGAATATTAAACAATTTTACATTAGATGTTATCGCAACAATCTAAATAGTTATGAAAATTATGCATCAACCGTTCAACTTCTTCAAAAAAAATCAGTGATGCCATTTTTTGAACCAAAAAATAGTGTTTTAAATTATGAAATATATTTTGCTGACTTTTTCTAAAATATTTTAATCAAAAATTCCTTTTTTAAAAGAAAATGTATCATTTACTCTCAGAGAAATTAAAATGTTAAATGTTTTGTTATTTTTACTTTTTTGCATTAATATTATCAAGCAAAAATGTTGATTTGAAAGTACAACACATCTTTTATCTCGGATTTATTAAATTATTATTCTTTCTGCTGACAGCTATCACGTATCATAAGAAGCATTATCATATGAGATTTCGTCCAAAAATCAATGAAAAATCTTTTAACTCATTTTTTAATGTTGCAGACTGAGTTGATAGCTGCTGGTGGACCCATCTCTTGGCTAGAGCATGGTCTTTCAGCTGCTTCAGTTAAAGTTCAGAGACTGAGGTAAATCAAATATCAATCTTTGAAGTGCGTTTAAACTTTCAAAATCAACGAATAAAAACAATAAGTTCTTTTGAAATATTCTGCAATTTTTAACCAATTTGAAAGTTTAAAAAACCGGACACCAAGTAATCAAGAAAAAATTGAAATCATAGCAAGATACCAGTCACTAACTGTTTTATCTAATGCGTTACAACATAGAAATTACTTTTAGTTTTAAATAATTAAAATCTATAATTTATAGCGAAATTAATCGGATACTCGCTCATCAACCCTGGACTCTCACGCCTGCACATATAGAAGCTATCACGAGGTGACAAGGTTTTATCATACATGCTGTATATTCGAATTAAAGCTAAAGTTTTAAGCTAAAGAGGGATAAAACATTAAGGGTATTTCATTTGATTTCTTCCCCGTTCATACAATAATATTGCATGTTTTTCTCCATTTTAAATTTCAGTTGGTGTTAAAAGGATACGAAAACATTGAAATCACCCTTTTTGACTTATTTTTTGACTTGTTGCACTCCAATTAGAGGATGTATTAAATACTTTTTTCTTTTTGAAAAGATAGTTAATTGGATTATAAATTCTTTAAAAAAGTATAGCTTTGAACTCTTAAAGTGTGTATATCGAGAGCAATGATTGGTCTCGATCTTAGGTTAGTCTGCGATTAATTTCATCTTTATTCGATATCCTTTCAGGAATAACTTTTAAAAAAATTAATCATTGATTCTCAAATTAAAAGTCCGATAGGAATTATGGATATCCAACACTAAGGTTCCCAGCTCAGTAAGATCTCTACCACTTTTTCGAGTTTCAAATTACTTAAAAATGAATATTGTCAACTCGTTTTTTTCAGGAGTTAATAGTTCTGTTATTTAGTTGTCTACAATTTTTCAACTTTTGCACATGGCTGAAATATACATATGCATTTTTTGTTATATGTTATATGAGGGGAGGAAGGCAGGCCAGCCACAACAATTTCTCTTCAGAGCCACATTCTCCTCATTTTCCCGTTCGATCCACCTCGAAATCCTCGTCCTTCGCTAATTATGTGTTTTTAAGTTTCTAATTCTTGAAGATTATCTTTTAAAAATCAGGCAACGTTAGGGCATAAAATATGGAAAGACTTAAGTATTGCAATGATTACATCATGTTGAAATCTTCAAAGCCGTGAATATTTTTCAGGACATTGCACTCCAAATCTGTAATTTTATTGAAAGTATTTTTTTTCGATTTACAAAAATTTGATATTTCGTTTATGCTCTAACGTGACCCGATTCTTAGAAAATTGTTTTATCTTGGAGAATTGAACACTTTAAAAAGATAATATTCGAAGGACGAGGATTTCGAGGTGGCTTGGACGAGAAAATGAGAAGAATGTGGCTCGGACTAGAAATTGTTGTGGCTGGCCTTCCTCCCCTCGTTATATAGACTCAATAAACTTACTAGTCAAGAAATTAATACCGCGAATTTTTTTTCAACATCCTGCATATCATGTATTTAGAACTAAATATTTGATTCTGTATTAGTTAGTCGCGCACCCTTGCTATAGAACCCTAATGCAAATTTCCAATTGATTTTTAAACAGGTTAACTTATTATTTTATTTTTAAATCAAAGTCTAAGGTTATTGATCTAATGAATAATATATTTTGTAGATCTGGTACTCCTGGAAACTGGTCTCTATCTGAGCTGGTTTACGCCATTGTTTTAATGGCACATTTTCATGCATTCTCATCTTTCATAGGTACATACAACACTTGAACCGTTTTTTTAAAATTTTAAATCTGATGATCAGAAATGGTGATCATTTTTGGATTTTGGAAATTGATTTAATTGATATTTTATCTAGCCAATGAATATCATCGGCTTTTATTTTTTACGATAAAATGATTTTTGTCAATTCAACATAAAACTTATTTGCATTATTAATATTTCATTATTTAAATAGTTCTGTTGAATTTTTTTATGTCAAGACTCAAGATATCATTACAACAAATTTTAGAAAGCTGTTCTTCAATGGAGGAGGATGATATTAAAAATAAATTTGGAAAACCTACAGTTTCCCCTCAAGAATTTAAAGATGAGAACCCGACCCGACCATTTGATTGTACATCACAGAACTGCTCCCCAACCAGGACGAGCGAAAGAGTCAAATCATCCTCCAAAGTTTCTAAACATCCTCAAGGCTTGGATCAGTTTTCAAAATCACCACCATATGATTGTAGTAGACCAAAGGTAAAATAAGAAAATAGAATGTAAGTTCATATCAGGGGCGTTTCACCTCGGACTAACCAGAGTGAGCAGCATTCCGTTTCTTCTATTTGAAATCAAACGTGTTTTGGTCTATAATTCAACAATCTTTTACCTTACGGATTTGTTTATTCTATACTTTTTTCTTCAAAATGCATATGCCGACAAAAAAGTATTTCAGAAAAAAAGAATAAAAAATTGTGTTTAATGGGTCAAATTGTGATCGAAAGTCACAGCTTTCTGGAATATTGACAGAACCGTGAAATCCACGTGGTTTAAAACGGCAAAAAGCTGGACAAAATGCTGAATACGCTTCTATACAACAGATGCCTCATTGGGGCATCGAAATTGGAAAATCGACAAATTTAGAAACCTGTAAATCGCAGTTCAGCTATTCGGATTTCACCCATGAAGATGTCCAGCGGAATGAAATATTAGTTGCGGGAAAATGTTTGATCCTGCCGCCTGCTGCAAATTCCGCATTTTTGCACATTCCTTACGTTCACAAGTTTCGCGCTAAAAAGTCTGTTAACAAATGCGAAAAATATGTTTGGGAAAAAATGCTCAAATTGCTAGAGAAAAATTGAAGCAAATTCCGAGCAAAAATTGCACGCAGAAAAACAGTTACCGTTAGGCATAAATCAACGTAAAATTATCAACAACTAACATAAGAGCCCGACGTTTATAGTAATTCTTTTTAAAGAAATAAAATTTTGAAAGAAAAAAGTATATATTTTTGGGGAAAAAAAGGATTTGTTTTGCCCATGGATTCCTTCAAAAAATTCCGCCAATTTTGTTCAACCTTTTGGTATATATATATAAATATAGATACATCAGCGAAGAGCTTTATTATATAGATTACTAGCTTAAGTGCCTGGCGTTGCCCCTGGAATTAAAAAAGTCGATTTCTTTAGCCTTTGTTTGGCCAGCTATAGCTAACATATATACAAATATACAATGTATATTATACATACATATATTATGAGCGAAGAGCTTTATTATATAGATAAACAATTATGATCTAAAAACTTCTAATGCTGAATGATAACTATATAAACAAATATTTCCACATATTAAAAAGTTTTTTGCGCAATTTTGTTGCAGCTGCAACTCTAGTTTTGCGCGGAATTGCGAATCTTTCGGCAACTTTAATTTTTTAGAAAAATTGCGGACTTCCGAAAAAAAGTTTCAGTATTTGCAAGCATGTGCTAAAGTTTGCTTCCGCTGGGAACTTATCTAGGGAATAGGATTTCTCGGGTGACGCATTTACATCACGATGAATATTATTTTTTTAAAATAAAATATTTTTTTTTTAATTTAATGCAATTTTTAGACTGCAAAGGGATCCCCAGAGACAGATTTAGTGGATACGCTTGTACAGAAAATGCAGCTGCTGAGAGAAAAGCCGGAACCAGATAGGTATTATCAATCATGTTTACCTTAAGAATTAGACTTTTTTGATCTTTAAAGTATAGTAACATACATAAATGGGAGTGTTCGCGAAAAAGGGTTGTTAGGCTGAATAATTATCATACCCGGATTCGATTGCTAGTAATTTTACTTCTATTTGTTGCGTCTATGAGGTGAAAATGGTTGAAAATGTGAATTCATGTTGCATTATTCCACTGAATTGCCCTAATTTAATTAAAAATTAATCATTTTACACTATCTGAATTCCGAAAGTGTTTAGGGTAATTTTAATGTAGTGTACATACCATTTTTGAATTTGTTTAAAATTTGTGATGTAGTCATAAGGACGATTATTTGGCTGCCAGGTTTCTCTCGCTCTTGGAATTTCACAGATTTCTCTATAAAAGATACATAAAGACCAAATAATCTTCCTTCAAAATACATTATATAATATAAATAAAAATAAAAAGATTATATATACCGTATGCCATTTAATATTTCAGTGATGAGCTTGCTGCAACGTTTGACAAGGTAAAAATGACGAGTGCTGACATTGGACTTGGAGCTGAGGCTAGACGAACCACACCTGATCTAAGGGATTTTATTAAATTGAAAGATTCATTGCCCAAAATATTATTGATTAAATTTAAACCTCAATACTTCAATATTAAAGTTTAAAAATCAAGAATTTTAAAATTGTTTTTTTAATAGTTATAAAGATTTTCATCGATTGGTTATTTTGGTGCTTGTTTTGTTTTGGTTGGGTTGATTGAATTTTAAAAATAATATAATTGTTGTTCCAAATTTATATTAAAATGAAAAAATAGAAAGTTTGTGACGAACCCTGATTTCCACTATGTTGATTTTGCTCAGAGAGAATTCAAACAGCAGTTTCCAACTTTTAGAATACAGGTTTGTGAATTTTGATTCAATAATAAAGCTATTTTGTGATTTTGTTTATAAATGTAGATTTTTTATGGCAGGTGAAAAATTGTTTTGAACATGTTTTTACTGGAGCGTAAAAAATGGGGGTTTGAAACTTTGATTGAATCCGTTTCTTTAGTCATTTAATCTATTGTTATGTACTTATTTGATATTATCAAGATTTATTCACACACACAGATATGCATACATATATAAATGGTGCAGTTTAAATTTGTTAATAAATTTCGAATGAATATTTTTACAAAAGTAAAAAGAGATAAATAACTAGGCAAAATTATTCACAAATAGGCGACATTGATCATTACATATTGCATAACATATTTATCATTTCAGTTATTACGTAACCTTAATTTCAGTTTCATCTACGTCATCCCAATATCCTGTTAAGTTGTACCTTTAGGAATACCATAACAGAAAATGTCAGCCGGAGTGGAAGGGACTTAATCTTTCTTATGTTCTCTTTGAGTTCTGGTACCAGAGACAACTGGCTTCCCTACATTCTTCCTTTTGTTTTGAGAGTTGATTCTGTCATTTAACCCTCTTTTTACACTGGGAGATCACATTTTCTGCTCTAAGGGGGACTGTGAGATTCTTTGGTCTTTGCCCCTGTCCCACTGTAATCATCGTTATATTAACTTATTGCACTGTAAGATTTTGCATTAAAACTTGGTGGAGGATTGACATTGACATTGCAATAACTCAATCTTCTTCTCTATTGCTTACATCCTCTCATTTATTATGGTGCTTTAGGAGTCCTGAAATCCCTTGACATGGGCGCTCTGACTCGGTTTCAAGTGTAATTTACGATTTGTCAAAAATTTTGGAATTTGGAAATTGAAAGGTACTGTGACCACACAATTTCGATGTCCAGCTTTGTCAATTTTCAATATCTTTTCCCAGAGATCTTGAAAAATGGTAGATATCTTTCGTTTTTCTTGGATATTTCCCTCTGTATCCTGCAGTTGAAAAAGCTTGAAAAAAATTTGATCTAGAATTCTTCAGCTGTTCCGAGGAAAACTCTCGGCTGAGTTTATGAAAACACAGCGTTTTATCAGCAACTTTATCAAAAGCATAAAATAGTGCTCCTGAGATTCCATCAACTAGAATCATTTCACCAGAACTTGTATCTTAATAAATTTTATGTTCAGGATTATAATTGGGACGAGCAAGGGTTTTCCTTGATATCACGGTTTTACGACGACATTGCACAACTGCTAGACGACAAATTTAAAACAGCATACAACATGACATATGGTACAATGGGGCGGTATTCGGCCATTGATACATCTATGTATAGACGAGCTACATGGAATTACATTCAGGTACTTTAATAATGCATTGTATTTGTGTACTAGGGCCTAGCTATGGCATGCTCAAGTACTTTTTCGATGGTAAATGCATAACTCCCGATTATTAAGTTAATTATTATTAAATTGATAGATCTTATTATTAATTTGTCAAAAAGTGTGTTTCTTTGTATTTTTGGTAGATGTTTCAATATGGCCACAGGTTAAATTAAATGTTGGCGTGCGCGTGTCACATCAATTTAATAACGAAGCATATAGCATCTAATGAGACTAAAAATGCTCAGAAAGAACTGTAGCTTGGCGATGGAACTCGGAACTGAAAGCTAATACTAAAATGATATATTAATAATCAAAAAATTTTCTCAGCAATTAAATCGCTTGAAATACTACGCAGCTCAACTTGGGTTTAATTTTCCTTCTTTGTATCGATGCTATATGCAATGTGCATTATGCATCAGTCTAAATAAATACTGAAACATATCAAGATAATAACCTTCACTGATGCAATACTTATAACGACACACAATATATTTTGGTGCAATACTTGTTGTAAACAGGGATGAATTTATGCCTGAATCTGTTTTTTTAATTTAGACCATCTACCATCTAAAGTTACGCCCTAAAAATATTATTTATTAGTGTCTATATGGTATTCGTTGGGACGACTACGATTACGCAGAGGTGAATGAGCTTTTACACAGGTAATTACTTATCAGTACTAATAAAAATTTATTGCTATTGAGCTGAATTGACACCATTATACAGAGAGTTATCATCTAACCCAGGCTTTTTCATTCTAAAATCAATAACTAAAGAGTTTCTTTTCTTTTTCACGCTGAAATTTATTGCTATTGAGCTGAATTGACACCATTATACAGAGAGTTATCATCTTACCCAGGCTTTTTCATTCTAAAATCAATAACTAAAGAGTTTCTTTTCTTTTTCACGCTGAAATTTATTGCTATTGAGGCTTTTTCATTCTAAAATCAATAACTAAAGAGTTTATTTTCTTTTTCATTCTAAAATCAATAACTAAAGAGTTTATTTTCTTTTTCATTCTAAAATCAATAACTAAAGAGTTTATTTTCTTTTTCATTCTAAATCAATAACTAAAGAGTTTCTTTTCTTTTTCATTCTAAAATCAATAACTAAAGAGTTTATTTTCTTTTTCATTCTAAAATCAATAACTAAAGAGTTTCTTTTCTTTTTCATTCTAAAATCAATAACTAAAGAGTTTCTTTTCTTTTTCATTCTAAAATCAATAACTAAAGAGTTTTTTTTTCTTTTTCACGCTGAAATTTGACGGGAAATTGTAAACGTTAAGTAAAATGTTTTTACCGAGCCAAAAACGTGTAAATGAAAGAAATATGAAATTACATACCACATGTGATCAGTAAAACTTCTGGATAAATTACAAGAGTTCGTAATTTTGAAGTTAATTTCTAACATTGTTTATGTTTAGGTCTCTGAAAGGATATGTTAAGACGGCTGCCTGCTACCCGGACCGCTGTTCACGGCAGGATTACAAACACATAATGACAGATTTTCTGCCATCCGAGAAAGTAAATAATTTCCTACTTACATTTTCATTTCTTCAAACATTGACACATTTCATAATTAATTGGTATTTAAAAACATCTTCTCATCCAGTTTCGAGCAATGTTATTATTATTTTTCTCCTTGTAGACAAATTAATTTCCTAAGGGCCAGGCCACCCATTCTAATATCCCTTATTTCTCATTTTTGAAAACAATCTAATAATTACTAATTTTAGATTCACGTCTGTTTACTTGTGGCTGAAGCTAAATTCCAATCTGAGCTTCTTTATGCTCTCAAGGCAGTGGCTGTGTATTTCAGATCATAACAAAAAGAATTTCTCACGGTACAAGTTATCCTTTTTGTTTGATTAACAGTAATATTCCAATTTCTAAAAATTTTAAAATTAATTGGATTGTCGGTGTAACAAACGAAGAGTGAGTGTTCTTGAGGGGAGAAAATACAGCAAATCAAATCAAATTAAACCAAGTAAATTCATCTTATTTGTGATTTTTGTCAGTACTTCATAGACAAAAGTGGCAGGATCAATTGCGAATTCAGAAAGATTTAAACCACCTTCCTACCTAAAGATTCTATTGAAGACCAACTGGGTTACACACAAAGGATGAGACTGTAAAGACGATTCAAAACTCTAAAATATGACGATTTTAAGCTTGATTTTTGGTTTCTGCGCTCAATTGAGTGTTTTGATGGTTTACAAAATGATTAGGTACAGAAATAAGCCAGTTTGGGCCTACTAGGAACCCTAAATACAAGGAAATAAGCCAGTTTGGGCCTACTAGGAACCCTAAATACAAGGAAATAAGCCAGTTTGGGCCTACTAGGAACCCTAAATACAAGGAAATAAGCCAGTTTGGGCCTACTAGGAACCCTAAATACAAGGAAATGGATTAAATAAATTCCGTACAATCGTCTTTGAAGTCTCATTCTTTGTTTGTAAACCTGCACTTCAGTTTCTAAACTGGAAAATTAGTTGTTAAGATAAGGCTTTTTTGGCGTTTTTAAAATTAATCTTAGCACGACACACCGATGCCTACTTTTTAAAATATATTTACTTCTGGTTTTTTGTTACGGAAGTCCTTATTCGGCAACTGATCACGTTCTTTTGTATTTATTACATATATCACAACCAAAACATTACAAGTTAAATTGATGAAAAGATAAAGGTACTTAAGATTTTAGGTATATTTTTTTATTTTTTTAACCTTCTTATCCATTTGATGTAATAAAGTTGCTCTTTTATCGTGTTAATGTATTATTCCTACACGATAGCTTTCACTAATATCCATTTGTTTCCGATTCCAATTTTTGTTTTGAAATTCAAATTGTAAAGCATAGTTTGAAACAGCTCCTAAAAGATATATTTGATTCCTATCTCGGTCGGGCTATTTTTGGTCAATTAAGAAAAGGATTGGGATTTTGTTTTTAGAGCATAGAGGGTAGACGCAAACAAACATTTTTAATACCTTCTCCATTTAAACATTTTAGATCTGTAACTTCAATAATTAATAGGCTTGGACGAATTTTTATAAAATTTGTCTGTTTTTTTTAACATTGGGGGGGGGGGGTATATTTTTTGAAATATTAGCATGACTCTTCAATCGTTTTTCTAATTGTCCAACGCCCTAAAAAAGTTTTTAGAAAAATTTAGAATTCGTTCTTAACTTCAAGAGTCAAAAAGTTTGAGGAAGATGTTTTTAGTGTGTAGAAAATTCGCAAGAGGCGTCCGAGTCCCCCCCCCCCCATCCAACCAGGATAGGGTCAATCAACTGATGCAGCGTATTAGATGTATTGAACAGATTAAATGTTCCTGTAGTGTATTATGTTAAATGTATTCAGAGTTTCTTGTAAAAAAGAAATTTTTATGAAATTTATAATTTCATTTCGTGCAAATGACTCAATTTTTATTTGTAAAGTATAATGCATATTTATACTTCTGTATGCCAAAATTTCCTAGTTATTTTAAAAATAAAAAAAATAAAAAATTTAATCATTCCTGGAATGTGATAATAATAATACACAAGGAGTTGTATACAATGTTCATTGTACAATTGTATTTACGTGCACTTAAATGCAGTAGTTAAATAGCAAACTTTCAGATTCCTCATCACTAACTACATACAACCTTTTAATAATAAATCTATATATTTTAGTTTACAGAGTCACATCAATGATTCACAATTTATCCTTAACTCATAATTGAAGAGGTTAAAGGGTAACTTTATAAATCGTTCATTGTAGGTTTTAGAATGAACGACCATTTAAAATTAAGTGTACAATCTCTGTAACTTTTAATTATCAATGCAAATGTAATCAATTATCCATTGACCGAAATGAAATAAAAATATTCATCCTGTTATGTATTTTTTTTTTGTCTCACCTCGGGATTTCGTTTTTTCTCATTTGTTCAAAAAAATTATTTGTTTTCAAAACTATTATGTTCGTTTTCTAACTTAGTGATCGTTTTTTTGAAGTTCTTTTGAACGATTTTAAATTTCGGTCTAACGATTTTAAATAGTTTTTTTTTTTTTTTTTTTTTTTAACCTTCGTTTTTAAAAAAACGTTCATTTTTTATATATTTCAACGATTCATTTCGTTTATCCATCGTTCGTTTTTATTGCACTAAGGATTTGACATAGGATAAAACAATAAATAATGAACTTTGAATATGAACGAAAAAATGCCTGTTAAAGAATTAAGCATTGAATTGGTAAATTGTTGAAATTTTGATTTTAGACATTTAGGATAAATTAACGGATAAAGAACTTGGAATATAAACCAAAAAACGCCTGTTAAGGATTAACTATAGAATTAGTAAATTGTTAAATGATAATAAACATTTAAAGGAATTACGGGTCCAGCCGAAGTTTTTAAATCATAGGCTCTGGAGTTGTATATTGGAAGACAGGACAGGCTAAGGATACGGAAGGTTATACCTGGGTTGGGTGTTGACTACTGATCTAAAATTATTTATTAGAGTAGGGCATTTACTTCAGATACAGTAAATATAACAACAGTTAGGTTTAAGTTTAATTTCGTCCTTATGTTTTTTAACAAGATTTTTTTCCAAACATTGCATTAAATAAAATTACAGCTTTAAAAATAAAATTACAGAAAAGAGAATACAGAATAATAAATTTTGAGTAAAAATTGTCGTTAACAGAATGTTGCTGGAACAAATTAAACATACTCTGACTCAAATCAAGTCACACATGACTTATACAGTATTCTCTTTCAAAAAGTGTTCTTCTTTCTTTTCATTTCAGAAAATGAAAATAAAATTCGATGGATAGACAGTTTTGGTTTTTTTTGCTGAGTATATTGAAACGACAGTTTTTATTTAATACCTCTTATAATTGTTATAAAGTTCAAAAAGGGCAAATCACATCTTAATAATTCCAGGAGCAACAATATTTTATGATGATTGTTTTACAAATCATTGTTGTGAAAGTTGTGGTAGTTGGTATTCACCGTAAAATCTTGTTTTCTAAGATTTTAATCTAATGCATTTTTAACACAATTTTCGACATCTATCGAGGTTTCATGGCATCTGTATTGACTTAAACTAAGTTTTCAATTTGTTTTCAATTAAATTTTTGAAAACTTAGATTTTTACGGAATTAATTGATGTTTTCGGAAAAATCAATGTTGGCAAATTGTGAATTTTGTGATAAATAGAAGTTCTTTTCTACAGTATCTGTAGCAGGCAGGATTAGTGTGTAAGTATGAATTGATGAATTAATTGTAATTGGATAATTAATTGAATTATGAATAACAACAGAAGGACAGTTATGGTGTAAACAGTAATCGTAATACCATGGGGGGAGGGTTAAAGGGTAGCAGTACAAATAGAATAAATTAGGCTCTGTTAAATGTAGGATAAATAAATGACTAGTATGGTCATTTGGACGTCAATAGTTTGGTCATTTGGACGTCAAAAGTTTGGTCATTTGGACGTCAAAAGTGACGTCATTTGGACGTCCAAAAATTAGGTTGTGAGGAGAGGGAGGGAGTCCAGAGTTCCTCAAATAGTAATCACCGCCACCAAAATCTGTTTTACATTTGGACGTCATTTGGACGTCCAAAAATTAGGTTGTGAGGAGAGGGAGGGAGTCCAGAGTTCCTCAAATAGTAATCACCGCCACCCAAATCTGTTTTGCGGCAAGCGCGCTCCTCAATTGCTAATCTCCACCACCTCAATTAGTAACTACTCAATGATAAGTACAGATGCCCTTCAGGTCGGTTTCCTATCTTCGTTAACAAAGGGTCCTCGTTAACGATTGTTAACAAAATGACAATTTTTACAAAAACGATTGTTTTGAAAAACAATTGTTTTTAATATTGATCGTTTAAAAACGACCATTTTCAAAAAACGAATTTTTAAAAAACGATCGTTTTGTTTTCGATTTTTCGTCGTCGTTTTCATAACGTAACGATTGTTTAAAAAAAAAATTAAAACATTAACATCCCTACATACAGGTAGCAAGGGTGAAAGTAGCATCCAGATCTGTCATTAGGAAATAAATTCTGGACAAAGAGAGGAGTAAACAGTATGTTAGACAAATTTCAGAGAACTTTCTTTGTTTTAAAAGCTCGGGACAAGATCAGAAGACTGGTAGAACATTGTGATATCTGTCTTACCAAAGAAAGAAGCATCAAACCCATGATGGGACCACATGTGCCAAGTGCAGTCGGAAACATAGGGGAGAAAGTCTTTTTTGACCTGGTGACCTTGTCTGAAACAGTGAGAAAGAACAGTTATTTGTTTACACTGCAGGACGGATTCACAAGATTCCCCAGTGCTTATCTAATCTGCAACAAGGAGGCTGGCACAGTGGCAAGAGTTTTAATTCGTGAACATTTCAGTGTGTTTGGTTTACCAAATCAGATACACTTGGATAATGACCAAGAGTTCTTAAAACAGTTATGGAAAGAGTTTTTCCAAGAGTTGAAGATATTGCATACCAAGACCCCACCATACAATCCATCATCAAATATTGAGGAGAGATGGCATAGTGGCTATTTTAAGAACCATGGGAAGAGGATGAATGGGATCTGGGTGTAAAAGCTGCCTATCTAACTTAAAATACAAGATGCCATTTTTTGCCATGTTTAGATGGAAGCTACTCTTCCTGTGAATTGGATATACCCCATACCTAAAGCTCAAAGGGAAATTGAGTTATCAGACTGGACAGAAGTGATGCAAGAAAGGTTCCAAAGGGCTTATGCTGGTTTGAGAGAGAAACAAAAATCTACAGCACGCCGAAACGATCAATACTTAAACCAATCTTGTCAAAGTTTGATCTAAAGATTATACCTGGAAGCTGTGACAAGTTTAGATTATATTGGGCTGGACCGTACTAGATCATCAGGAAAATATCTCTGGCTTTAGCACAAGTAATGGAAGTGTACAAGAAAGCAAAACCCAGCTTAGATGTATTAAAAGAGTTCAGAGGAGTTAATAGTGCATACGAGTTTCCCAGTGATCCCTCACACTCTGCAATATTGGAAATAAATGAGATGCAAGAAGTTCCAAATCTCATGCCAAATTCAACAGCTGTGCATGGTGATCCAACAGCTTTAGTTAGCACAGGAACTGGAACATCGTCATACAGGGAAGATAATATATCTAACAACGTAGAGAATGGAGAAGTTAATTCCCATCCTGAGAACCAATCAGAATGTGATAGCGGAATTATGGAGAANGAAGATGAAGATGTAGACATGGAAAGGTGGAATATGTTAATGGAAACTCAAGACGAGATGGTATCAAACAGTCAATCAGTAATCCAAATTTTTATATCACTCGGAACCAGACATTGACATGGACTCATCATCTGTTACAGGCACACAGAAATGACAGAGATACCTACAACATGGAGAATAAAAGTGGTGATCAAAAGGAGTCAAAGAGATATCCCGATTGTACCCTATGAAGATGACCTGGATGAGTTGGATCAGCCTAAACATTGTAGATATGGAGCCAATTGTATATTAGGGCAATGCAACTGTATTGAAGAGGAAGGGGAACAAGTTCCTGATATGCAGTCCCCAGTGATATGTGCAAATGACAAACCAAGACTGTCAGAGGATCACTGTTTGATATAATGGAGTTCATGAATTCTCTGTTTGCAGCAGAGAAAGCAGAATAGAAACAAAATTATAGAAAATAAGGGATAGATAACCCTATTTTTCAACATTCCTTCCCCCCCCCCCCCATTTTGTAATAAATGCAGTGGCAGATTCCATAATAACCTAGATCAATTACGTTGTACATTGTCCTTAAATCTTAATGCGCTTATCAGTAACTATGCAAATATTGTATTTCAATTAACCTAACCTAACTATGTCAAACTTATATTGTGATTAGCTTAAATACATTTGTATATAACAATGCAAAACTTGTAATTCTGTCTATTAAACTTAATCTGTAACCTAGAACCCAAAATACACTCAGTTAGAATAGAGTTTTGAACGATTACCAATTGAGAGTAGTTGTTCCTCGTTTAACGAACGGGAATCCTACTGAATCACCCTCTTGAAAGATAGATATAGATTAGGAAAGTGAAGACATTGTGCCAAGAGATCGTGTCCTGTTTGACATTGATAGTAGAGCATTGCAAAGATAGATGGTGTCCAGTTTGATATTGATAGTAGAGCATTGTAAAGATAGATTGTGTCTGGTAAAGTGTAATTGAACTGATTAGTTCTGATGCCCTAGCGAGAGGGATTGAGTTGTACCTGGATTGATACGGGTCTGAGAGACTTTTACCGAGTAGGGCATTTACTACAGGTTAATGTTATTCTAAAAATCCTAATTTTGAGTATGGACACAAACAATTTATCTGTCTTGCTGTCCTGGGTTTAAACCCGGCTAACAAGCTGATAATTATGCTTTCCATTGTTTGGTTTCTGTTGGGTCAATCCTTGGTCTGAAATCCTTTTGAGCACTCCGTCTTTACATTCTACATTACGATCTTCTAAAGTATTGAAAAAGAGTTCTATCCCCCGGTGTTTTGGAGATTCTTCAAATCCCATTTTTCTAATATTTCCCTTTAAGTTGGAAGTACCATTCAAGCTCTTCAAGCCTTGTCGCACAATTTTTTCCTCACTCCTGAAGGGAATGCTTTCAATGTTTTCTGTTTGATGTTCTTTAAACTTAAAAAAATTCTTTCTTGGACTACGTTCGTGTTTTTCTCCAATTTCATCATTTGTAATGCTGCACAACTCACTATCAATATACTCTATCATGCTGTCAAAAGGAGTAGTAGATATTTCACTATTTTCTCGTGAAAATGTTGGTCTTGAGTCAGTTTCGGAAAAACTGAAGAAATGTTCTGGTGTCGTCTGTCCATATTTAAGGAAGGTTCCTGAAAAAATCTCTGCATTTTATTTATTTATTATGAGGTTGTGCAATGGTTGATGATCGCAAATGCTCGTGCCTGTTTAGATCCTATCTAATACACTCAATATACTGCAGGAATTAGGTCGTTAATTTAACCTCCAGAGCTGAAAACTTTAGATTGGATAAACTTTAATCCTGACTTCTTGATCCGAATATCCACTGTGGAAAATTTTCATTTTAGTCCTTAATCCACTCTTTTTCTCTCTCCTTGGATATCCGTTAATTGTTTTCTCCAATGAGAATATTTCTGTTCCCTCATTGGTTGCCCGCTTTTCTCTGTTTGGCTGCTACAGTTTCTCAGATGATTAAATATTAATTTGAATTGTATCGTTTTTCATACACTTTTAAGATAATCTTGCAAGATTATGTTTATCTGGAGATTAAGAAAAAGAGTGGATTAAGCCTTAATCCCGATATCCACCATTCAAAAGTTCCCAGCTCTGGTCACTCTGTATCTGTAGGTCTTAAGCTAGTCAACTACACCTAGCTAGGGTTTCCAGCAAACGAGACGTTTCGCGAAAAAATGCTAAGATGTTCGGTCGCATTTTGCAAAAATAAATCAGACGAAGCGAAATTTCGAGAAAATAATAAATATATTTTCGCGAAATGCGAAAATTTTGTGAATACCATGAGTTTTATTGTTGCAACAATTATTTGCAGAAAAGAATTCTCTGCTCTGATAGCCCAATATTTGAAGTTTTTTTATGCCAATTTCTATTTCGCGAAAATTTCGGGTTTTTTCGGGATTCAAATTGAAGCGAAATTTTCTCGAAAAAAACGAAAACTTTTCGCATTTTTCTCAAACGAAATGTGAAAATGAGGCGGAATGGTTGCCCCAAAAAAATTTATTTGTGAAACGATTTTTCCTTTTTGCTGGGAACCCTAGTTACACAAAGTGAATAATTACTAAAATGGAACAGACTAAGGCAACGACGACAGGTTGGGCCATAAGGTTTTATTTGGTTTTGAACTAATTGCATGAAAAGATTTCTTTTGGAAAGTAAAGACTAGAAAAAATAGACTAAAGAACAATGTAGTTAGAACTTCGAAATTTTCAAAAAATGTTGTATGTTTGTTTGTATTTTATTTGTTAATACTATACAGTCGCATAATCAATTCATGGATTATGTCTGGCACTTCTAATTCTATGGGAATTTATCTTAAAAACTGCTTAGTTTTGTTCTTTCAAATCTCATTTTTTAAGAATCGGGCCACGTTAGAGCATAAATGAAATATTGAATTTTAATAAATCGAAAAAATAGTTTCTATTGAATTAAAGTTTTCGAGTTCTGTGTCCTTAAAAATGTTCCCCCTTTTTACACGTATTCTTGGTGTATAATGCCGCAAATAATTCCAAGATTATAGAACTTTAATATTTTTTTCTTAATTATAGTGAAAACAATAGATTTTTTCCGGGTGTTTCCATGGGGAAAATGATAGGCATAGGTATGCCAAATATTTTGCTATTTATTTCATAAATTACGGATGCAGAAGAGTTTTAAGTTTGATCTAAATAAAGTTTGACATCATTCTCAAGTCTCTAAACATTCAAACATGATTTAATCATTGCAATATCCATATTTTATGCCCTAACGTGGCCAGATTTGTTAAAAATTGTTTTCTCTTCAAGAATTAGAAACTTTTCAACACATAATAAACGAAGGACGAGGATTTCGAGGTGGTTTGGACTAGAAAATGAGGAGAATGTGGCTCGGACGAGAAATTGTTGTGGCTGGCCTTCCTCCCCTAGTCCCATATATATCATATTGATCTCCAAGCTTTAACGCCAAAATACGCACATAATCCTCGAATAACCTGGTATTTTCAACGGAACGATTTTTAAAAAGTCGGAACGTGAAACATCCTGTATATGTTTATATATTACTTTTAAAAACTTGGGACATAAAATGTCGTCATCCAACTATGAGTTTGGCCCACTTTAGTATTTATTCACTTTGAGTTACACCGCAGGGATTAATTAGATTATTAAAAAGTTGACAAGTGAAGATTAAAATGAGAAAGAAACTCCTCAATCATTTTAATTTATTACAATAGTTATCATCAAACTTTAAAACCTGGGTTGACACAATATCAATAAAATTTTGATAAAATATCAGAGGAATTCCTCTTCAGTCAGAAAGAATAATTCAAAGAGTTGGAAATGGATCAAATGCAGGCTAAAATTAATCATTAATGCTTATTAGAATTCGTATTACTATGATGAATAAATTAATGAATTAGCTTAAAAAAGGACGTTTTAAAATTAGAAAACGGGCGTTTCAACTTGTTCTACTTTCTTAATTCAAATGTTCCTAAGAAATATGAATTAACTGCTTAAGTACACGGCGATGCCTGTGCCCGTCAGGTTTATAATTGTGTTGCTGTTCATCGTGTAGTTAATATTTTATTTAGCCTCTCTCAAAACATGAACTTGTTCAATCTGAACCTATTTAACGTGGTCCAATCTGAACCTATTTAACGTGGTCCAATCTGAACCTATTTAACGTGGTCCAATCTGAACCTATTTAACGGGTCCAATCTGAACCTATTTAACGTGGTCCAATCTGAACCTATTTAACGTGGTCCAATCTGAACCTATTTAACGTGGTCCAATCTGAACCTATTTTTGCATGAGTACAATTTTTCCCGTTGGTCACTGTTTTAAATTTAATAAAATAAGTCTATGCAATATTCAACCATTCATATTTTCCAAGTTCTGGTTTAAGAAAAGGGAAGTGACACAATTGTCAGGTAATTGAGATCTTGAACAATGTTTTAGAGGCTTTGATATTATCTTACTGTAATCTAGAGGAACAAACTGAACACCATTTTAGTACCAAGTCCAACCGCCGCGCTCATCGAGCGCTGCAACCAGGCCAGGGGGCGGCCATTACAGTTTGCACAAACGAAGCCAAGTTTAAGCTCCGTTCTTTTCGCGCTCCCGCCCTCCTCCCTTTCACAAGATATCTTTCAGAAGAGGGGAAAGACCCTCTCTTCACTTTGGGTCCTCCAGGTTGCTTTACCCAGGGCCGGTGAACAGGGTTTACCGGCCATGGGACAGCGGCCAGGGGGAACCAGGTTGACCGGCTAACGACAAACTATTCAGAGCCGGTCAGCAGAGTTGACCGACCTAACCTAGCAGATAGCAAGACAGGTAGGTCAACCAGGTCGACCAGCCTACCTGAAAACTATTCTTACGAAAGTCAGAGGTACTGTCACAGGCTGGTCGACCTCAGGAGGCAATTATTCAGATCCAACAGGGTAAGGGAGAACCATACAGTTGGTAGAGGAATACATACTTAATCCTTTCGCAAAATTCAAGTACAGGTAAGGAGGACAGAGGCGGCCAGAGACAGAAGCGACCTGGCCTTGAATGTTCATAGATGAGGTAAGATAATATCAATAGTCCATTAATCACCTTTTAGCCTTCGTCTTGCATTGGGATTCAGCTCCTTCTCCTCTTCTTTATTCACTTCCCTCTCATGTGTTATTACATCAGCATCCTCAATTAAATTCATTCAATTTTACGATTTTATGTGTAAACAATGGTTATTAAATTACAGTTTAAATTTTATTTGCATGGTATTAAACCTTAGAGTCTGCAATAAATAACTGCAAGTGTTTTTTATAAAAATTTCGCACAAAGAATACGAATATGATATTCACTTATAGCTTTTTATATACCTCGACTTTCAGGTTATTCATTTGTCTTCTGCAATGAAAAATGATCCAAGTAAAGGCAAATAAGTTAGAAGTTCAGATATTTCACGACAAATGTAATCCATTAGTTTATCAAAATAACAATTGTGCAATTCTGCACACTTGAGCATAGAAATCTATTAAGTAAAGTTGTGCATGTTCAGTAAGAAAATATTCAAATGAGTTTTAAAAGAATATCTATTAATAAAAAGTTGTTAATGATTTTTAAGAAGAATTGATTACCCATTGACTACCCTTATCCGTCTTTTTTAAGAAGAATTGATTACCCATTGATCACCCTTGTCCGTCTTTTTTAAGAAGAATTGATTACCCATTGACTACACTTGTCCGTCTTTTTTAAGAAGAATTGATTACCCATTGACTACCCTTGTCCGTCTTTTTTAAGAAGAATTGATTACCCATTGACTACCCTTGTCCGTCTTTTTTAAGAAGAATTGATTACCCATTGACTACACTTGTCCGTCTTTTTTTCCAAGAGACATTCTGAGCTTTCTTTTGGCTAAATTAAATTTAATTGTAATCTATATAAAAAATCTAAATTTTTAATTCTCATTTTTGTAATAATTTGCCTTACCTGATGTTCAGTTTGACTGGCAGCAATAATGCTTAAGAGCCCTGTAAGAACTGTGTTGCGGTCAAGTATTTCAAATTTCTTCTGCTTTACCTGGAAAACGTCATTTATTTAACCATAAATGTTTTAAAACAAACAAAATAAAACATACTTTACACCAATAATTTAGTTTTATTAAATAAAGTATTTTGGACAAATATAATTGAATGAAAGAGTTTATTTTCTTCAAAATAATGTTTATTTTGAATTGAAGAGACATATTTAATTCGACATTTTTGCCATACGCACAAAAAAGACATAGAAACATTTGAATCATTCAAATCATTGAAGCCTTGTTTTGTAATTTGTAATTTGTAATTAAGAAATTACTAAGTAATCTCAAAATATCCCGTCTCAACCCTTGACCAGATACATAAATTATTAAAAATTATCATTTAATATGAATAAATATAATTACAATCTTTCTCTCCTCGACATAGTGTAAAAGAATGAAGTCACAGAACATTGTGATAAAGGATAGAAGGCCTAATCCAGCAACTATGTTGATAACAGTATTCTTTAAGTCGAATTTCCCTGAACAAATTAATAATATGATTTAGCAGAAAAAACTCTGACGGAAGGTTAAAATGTATGCATGCAACCTTTAAATTGATAATTACAAAAAGAAAATCTTACCCCCCCCCCCCCGTTTAAATGATATTGATATAAAATATATTGCATTCGCCACGTAATGAAAAATAGCCAAATATTTTGACCGAAAGTTTCCTAATTTACTATTGGGAAAAGAAGTAAAATACTATAAAAAAAATATCCCTCCTCACCTGCTCTGCCTTGTACAATAATAACAAACTTGATCCCGTAAGCCTTGTACAAAGTTCTCCGACCCTCTTCATGAAAATGTGCGTGCCGAAAATTCCATCCAAATGTATCCAAAAGGCGAAAGTTGTACCTAAACATATCATCATTTTTAGATATTTGTCACAAACCATCAATTTACTAACATATATATTTTTTTTAAATCTCAAAACTCTAAATAAAAACAAATAAAAAATTATAATCAAAGCAAAAAACTTAAGAATGAAATATCCTAAATCCCAATTACTCAATCTGAGTAATTTGATTTTCATCTTAAACCGTTCTTTCTTGGATATAGTGGAGAAAAATCAAAAACCGTTTTTCAAATTTAGAGAGTTCTTCCCTTTTCTGTATATAATCTTAAATGGCGCGCAAAATTTCAAATTTATCAGCTTCATATATGCGACTCTGTTTGGTTGAATTTTTCAGGATACAAATACAAAATTAGTAAAATAGAGGATAAAGCATTAATCTCAATATCCACGATTCTAAAGTTTTCACCTCAGAGCGGAAAATTTTAGAATCGGATACCCCTTAATCCTGATCTCTCAGTCTGAATAATAAAATTTTCTTTTTTATTCGCTCTTGTTGGATATCATATTTCCTACTACATGCAGGGGTCAATATAATTCCTTTTTCAATCCCATTTGGGATTGAGAAATTTGAAAGAAATGGGGGCATAAATTTTAAATTTTAAAAAAATGGGGGCATTTTTGTTTTAAATTGGTGGCAATGTGGCAAATGTGTTCGTGGAATTTGAAAAAAAAAATTTAATTGGGGGCATTTTTTTAAAAATTGGGGGCATTTTTGAAAAAAATTGGGGGCAATGGGGCAAATGTGTTAGTGGAATTTGAAAAAAAAAATTATAATTGGGGGCATTTTTTTATTTTTTTTCAAAATTGGGGGTAAAAAATTATTTTGGGACCGAGAAAATCAGCTTTTTTGGGAATTATATTGACCCCTGAAAACATGTAATAAAGTTGCGTTTGATTACAAATATAGATACGATGCTATATCGATTGAACTAATATCCGAATGAACTATAAAAGTCAGCTGTTCATAATTGCCGGCTTTTAGAGCATTTAAACAAATATTAATTTAATCGTGTTAATTTGAGTTTATTGAAAACATATTTTATCACATTTGAAGACTATAGTCCTTTAGAACGTTAGTCTTAATAAACATTAATCAAAAACTTACGTTCGTTCAATCGATCATTAGTCCAATTGATATGACACCACAAATGCGAGAAAATTAAAAACCGGTTTTTCAAAAGTAAAGTACGCATCTCTAATCTCTAGACTAAATTTGTCTTGAGATTTACCAAAAGAGAGAATTAAGCATTGATCTCGATATCCACCGTTCTAAAGTTTTAAGCTCAGTTTACACTTAATTTAGAGTGACCCTCCATTTATAGAGGCGACAAGTCTGATTTATAACGCTATACCCTTTGTTATAGATCAGCATGAATTGAACAAGCTGGAAAAACGACAATATCTTCCACAATATGGATGAAATAAAGGTAGTAAGGGCATCTTTTTGAATCAGACATGACCCTCTTCAAATTGAGGGACAGGGTCACTTGAAATTACAACGAAAAGTTTACAAAGACATCTTTTCAGCTTTTATTTGATTTAAAATGTTTATGAGTAATCTTGTTTTTTTCCCTCGCGAATAGGACATTGTACTTTCTAAATAAACTGTTGACTCGACACATTCTCTATTGTTCTAAAAATATTTTTGAACCTGATATCCTAGACATTCGAAATAGCAGATCGATGCTAATGTTTAAAATATTCAGGGTGTGCATTTTCATGCTGCAAAGATAGAAAAATAAGAGATAAATGCAAGTGTTTAATTCTTAAAAAGTAAACTACAGGGTGTCCCAAAAAACATGGGAATTCAGTGACGAATAGTATATCGTCTTTGCTATGAATTAGCATTGTAATACCTAATTTCAAAAGCCATAATATTATTATGTCTGCTAGAGTTTATTTTATGAAAAGGGTAAAAGACTGTAAAGATGTGTCTATAATGTCTCTGCAAGATGAACAGTGAAGACGGACAAGTTTTCTCTGTTTGTATACTGCAATTTCTGATAACCAATACATTTACCTAAACATCTCAAGTTAATAATAATAATAATGAAGAATGAAACAAAAAACCTAGAAATAAAGAAAACTTATCTGCATCTTAGATGAATATTTGAAATTTTGACTGAGCTGTATTGCAATGAGGAAAACTTTTGTCACATTTGTGTGGTCAAATTTCCAATCAAAGCCCTTTTTAGATCGATTGGGATAACACGATAATACAAATATTGTTTTTGTCTTGTCACTCTTATTTTTGGAATTATTACCCTGAAACGTCTTACTTTAAAGAAAAAGCTAAAATAATATATATTATCTTTGAATAATATAAAAGATTGCCTAGAATGAAACATAAAACTGTAAAAATTCAATTTTTGAGTTGAATACTTCTCTTCCTGGAAGATTTTTTTATTGATAAATTTCGGATTTGGTGCTGTAGTCGGCGATTAGAAAATCCAAAATAAATCAAAACTTATTCAATTAAATAATTTGTTTCTAACTTCAAGAGAAATTCAAAATTCAAAATTTTTCGGTTTATTAAATCTTGATTAAATATTTTTGAAATTTTTGAAGTATTGACATAATTTCAATAAATTGAATTAACCTATTTAAGCAGGTTTGTAAAAAGAAAGGGGTGGGCACATAAGATTAAAAATTGCATGATCCAAACCAGTACAAGGTGTAACCAGTATTAGGGGGGCGGGACTATAAGGGGGAAATGGGGGCACAGGTAATTAGATAAAGCTCCTGGCCCTTGTTATTTAAATATGAAGAAAACGTTTTTGCAGTGTCTGACTTTTATATTTAATTTTTTGAAAATACATACATACGAGAATAACTTGGAGCCTGTCATGTAAATAATGCCGTAATTTTTAGTATACAGGGTGTCCCAATAAACATGGGAATTCAGTGACGAATTCGATATCGTCTTTTCCAATAATTCTTTGATTTAGTATAGTGATACCTACTAAGTTGTAATCTATAAGAGTTTCGTCTGCTATGTTCACATTTTGTTTGTTTATGTTTTGACTGCAATACGATTGTACTTATAGTAAAACAAGAAAATTACAGTATATAAATAGAGTAAACTTGTCCGTCTTCACTGTTCATCTTGCAGAGACATTATAGAGACACATCTTTACAGTCTTTAATCCTTTTCATAAAATAAACTCTAGCAGACATAATAATATTATGGCTTTTGAAATTAGGTATTACAATGCTAATTCATAACAAAGACGATATCGAATTCGTCACTGAATTCCCATGTTTTTTGGGACACCCTGTACATGCACAGAATTTCTTCCACTCTTCGTGCGTCTGAGACATTTTTCTCAGATTGTTCTGTAAATCTGCAGCCCATCTAAAGCCAGTACAGAGTACGGACACAAAACCTAAGTAATTTTAATAATTTAACCCTTGTTACTTAGGATTTAAATCTTGATTTTTATTTTATTCTTTCCTTAGACATTAATACCTAGAATAAGCCGCCTTTATGAGTATTGCGTGAACAAAGAGGAGCACCGGCTCCAATACTTTAATCAAAGAGGAGCACCGGCTCCAATACTTTAATCAAAGAGTAGGTAATCATCTGCTGAACAAAATCTAATGCCAGTCAAACTGAACCAGGATTCTTAATCTTATCGACCTAAAGAACGCGTCGATTTTTCTTGTGCTGCATGTTTTACTTTTATATTGTATGTGGCCTAATCTCTTATCATTTTAAACTGTGAAAGAAATCATTACAGCCCTTGAATGAGCTTTTTAAATAATGAAAATTATTTATTTTAGAATAGTTGATATTTCATAATATTTTGTATTTTTCATGATCTGAAAGTTACTTTTGAAAACATTTATTCCTGTTTCAAGAATTTTTGATAATGAAGAGGACATTTTCATATTTTCCAGGAATCAAATGTTAGAAAATCCAGCGCCAGCGAAAATTATTAAAAAAAAATCAAAAATATTATAAAATATTAACTATATACAAATGAGTCGAAAAATAATCGATGAATACTGTTTGTAATATCTGAATGATTTGTTTGCAATTAAATTGATTTGTTTACGAATGTTGAATGTTGCATCTTTCCGAATTTGTATGGACGCTGCGTCGTTTTTAACAATTTTCTTCTTATAGACGCAACAGACAGAAGTAAGATTAGTAGTGATCAAAAGCGCTTTTTTTTCGTATTAAGCCCCCTTTCATTTTTCGCAAACACTCCCTTTAAGTGATAAATTTATAATGTAAAAAGTTAGTTTTTCAAGCAAAGGAATAATTTTTAACTTTTTAAAAATGTAGTCTTTTTGGTGTATTTATGGTGAACAAAACAGTTCCAGGGGGGGGGCAAAAAACAGCCAGGGGGAAAAAATTTAAAAAAGATATCAATATTCTTTCAAAAAAGGGTTTTTTAAGGGGGCGGGGCACAATGTTGCCAAGGGAGGGGGACCCAAAATTTTTTTGGCCCTTGCACGCCCCTGCCTACCTTCTAGTTTTTTTGTCTCAAAAAATTTATCACAAAGATGTTTTTAAAAGCAAGAATATTTTGATCACATTTTTAAAATTCCGATATAGTTTTAACCCCCAATTTTTTTTTCTTCCTTTTCCCTTTTCAACTTTTTCTTTTGACATTTCCAGATTATTGAATCCAAATCTCTAACACTATCAATTTATCATTAAAGGTTCATTTGAATACATCTTTAATTGATTTAACTTCTATCGATCGCGTAACATTAAACCTTTAGTTTTAGAAAAGTCTAGTTATTGTTTAGAAATTTTTACTGTTTGCAGTTCATCTTGACCCTAACCAAAGATGCGCATATATAAAGAGTCATTCGGGAGGTGCCATGTGTTACAGCCAATAATAATTTATTTATAGTATACATAGGCACAAATTGGTCTTCCACCCTTTGTGAATCTGGGATATTTTTCTACCGATTGTTCTGTACATTTATCTGCATAACTTTAGTAATTTGAATATTAGCCCATGCTATTCAGAATTTAAATCTTAGTTTCACTTTCATTCAATTTCAAATCACCAAAAAAAAGTGATCTTTTATAAAATTTTGACAGAGGGCTGGCTTTAAAAGTAGGATCAGGAATATCAATAAGCAACATTCAAAATAATTTTTTCCTTTTTGAGTTTTGGAGGTCGGAAAAATATATTTTGATTCTTTCACTTCGAAATATTTTAGAGCATTGGCTAGCTAATATTTTTCGAATATCTCCATAGCGTTTTTTATTATTTGGACTCCAAGAATTTGCAGAATAATGATAAAATTCATCCTCTAGTCAGAGGCTGGAAGTAGGGGTTATGAAGACCATATTAAAACTACATTTAACACATTATTCATTATTAAACATTAATGGAAAAAGGCTTTTAAAAATTGCGTCCTTTCTCTGTAGTTTTAAAATTTTGTATCCAAAGATGATTTTTTTATTCACACGTTTTCTTGTGCCTCTGAATTAAAGCTGTTTCATCAAAGTTTGAAGTTTAATATTTGTTGAAGAACCCTTCTTTGCACACCTTCATTAGACAAATTAATTATATTATTATTTTGCCAATCATTTATAAAATATACAGTTCATAATATGTTTTTGTTCCTATCTAAGATAAAATTAGTATTTCTGTGTTTTTCTTAATACTGCTAGACCTAATTGGAGGATTTAGACTGGAAAGGAAATTTAATATTTTTTACAGTTTACCACAGAGATTTTGAGGCATCGAAGAAATTTATAAAATGTCGTTATTGACAATTTTTTCAATGGATAAGCTGTATAAAGATTATATTGCATTGAAACGGAAGAAAGGGGAAAATTAATTACAATTCTACTTAAAGGTCAATTAGAGGACTGGTTCCTGGACTCTGGCACCCTTTGAACCCTCGGCACGGGACTCTGACCCCTCTGGAATCGAGTCTCTCTGCTGGACTCTGACCCGCTTGACTCTCAGACTTTGGACTCTGGTCTCTCTGGGTTGCATTTCCCCCATCTCCAGTTATGGTTGGCTTTACTCCCCTCCTTCCCGGAGCAGAAGCTTTGTCTCAAGTCTCAACTAACTTTAACATGGCGGAGTATCTCCTATCCTGGCGTCAGTGGTTACAATAGTTATAGGATCAGAGTTAAAAATTTGCGATCATGTCAAAAAGTTCACATTTTATCTTCACTATCCTATGTAACTTTAATGCCGATACAATCTTACCTTGGAATACAGTTTCCCATAAAGTCAAAATCAAGATTACAGATCCAAGAGATGTGAATAGCAACTACTCCTCCCTATATTATAAACAGCTTTGTTTTTGCTCAAGAGTTGTGTGCCCTATTCAAAAAAGTACCTTTTTATTTTTTAACAGCTTTGATTAATCAATGATCAAGTAGGACGGACGTATTCATATTTCACAACAGAAATTCTTGTTATTGTTTGTTTGCAAGCTGTCTTGTTTGTTGGAAACATTAATATTTACTTTCCAGAAAATACAGAAACAAATATTTTCAACTGAATTTTTAAAACTCAAAGGTATCGTTGAAAAGTTTTGCTTGGAGGGTCACATTAAAGAACGCAATTAGAGTCCCTTTAATACAAAAAAATATGTATTAACCCTATTCCGACTGGCTTTTGGTTTACCCAAAATAGACTAAATAGAATTTCCTTCTTATGATACGAATTTATAACATTTGCAAAGGAATTGAGTTTTTGCCACAACCTTAAATTTTCTAATTTCTATATCTCTGCAACCATTGGGTATAAACCTTTGATATTTCAAACTTAGATTATTTGATCTAACAGAATTAATAGTTTGAAATATCTAAGGTCTACGAAATTGGGTTGCAAAGATATAGGGATACGAATATTTGAGTTTGTGGCAAAAACTCAGTTCCTTTGCAAACATCTGACTATTCTTGCGAAATCTATTTGTTAAGCAAAAAGTGTGCAAACAACAAAAATTGCGCAAAATATGACATTGTCAAACTATACAAGAAAAACTAAAATTGTGAAAATTCACTTTAAAGGCGTCTGTGCAAAAGTGTACGCAAAATGTCTTATCAGAAATTGTGCAATCTGCTTTCTTTTGTTATGGCTTTCCAAAGAGCCATAAAGTGTTGAAATCCAGGTACCGGAAGTAGGTCTAAATTTAAATTAAGTCTGACAAATGTAAAATAAGGCATTCAGACATTATGTTTGAGGACTCAGGTAAAGTGTATGAAATCTATTAGTTAGAGAAGTCAACAAATTTGAACAGCGTCAGACCAATACTTTTTGAGTTATCGCAAAAAAACTGTAGGGGGGGGGGAGGGTCGCTGTGACCCCCTCTCAATCGGAATAGGGTTAATACTAGATGTGGGACTTACTGAATTTTCTGGAAATTTTACAAGTTCAATTTTTTTTAACATGGTTGAAATGATTTAAATTAAAAAAATTCTTTCAAAAAGATGAATTTTAATTAAGATTGTTTTAAAAAACAATTGTTTCTGTAAAGTTCTCCTCCTGTTATTGAAAATTAAAAATAATTCCTTAAACAAACTTAAACATAATCTCTATATTACACGGTTCAATTTAGGTTAGAGGAACATTATTGTAGGCAAAAAAAACTTTGAGAAGGATTTTATTGAATCTCAATTTTGACAAATGTTTCCTTATACAAAGTTCTCCTTAGAGCAGGGGATTAATTGAACTTATTTGCTTTCCAATTTATCCTTTATTATAAATATGTATTTTATATATTTATTAAAATATATGTATTATGAATACCTTAATTGACATTATCGAGTAATTCCCCCCGGCCGCCTCAACAATGTCCCCTGAAATACACTGTTAAAGTTTTTATCTAAACAACTACATTTACATGCGTTACTGTAAATAGAAAACATTATGATTTATTTTTCTTTCGCCGCCCAACTAATAAATTGCAGTTTTAGGCACCAGAAAACAATTAAAACATTGTCAGTGCGTTATATTAAAACGGTTTTACTATGAGTTTAATAGAAAAGATTTTTTTTTTGCACGATCTGTTTTCAGAATTTTTACATGCCTATTCCGATTTGCACATGGAAATAGATCAAATTAAGTTATAATTTCTATTCTAATCCTTTCAAAAAATTTCGCGCACTTTTTACTTTTTTAAAGTATGAACGGAATAAATAATTCACATTGATATAAAACTTTTACTAAATTTAACAAACAAGCAGTTTTTCATGATTTACTATGGCTTCCAGGGCGCTTCACGCCCTTATTCGATTTTGACTTTTAATTGTTACTCTTTTTTAGATTTATTCGCGGATTTTGAAAAATCGAGATTTTATAAAGGCAATTCTTTTTAATTCTAACTATCCATAAACCTTTCCTGGGATAATCTGAGGTCTCACAAAAAAAACCAGATCGGTTCAGCCGTTTTGACGTTTATCGGATACAAAAAAACATGCATGTTCTGTATCATTATTTTACCTAATCTAAATATCGGACAAAGATGAGAGGAGCCATCACCGAAGTTGTGAACACAAACACCTATAAATATTTAAAGTTGCAAACACCTGAAATTTTAAAAAGTATAAGGCCATTTTTTTATTGCATTCAAAATGTTTTAGAAATCTAAAAATTCTTTATTCCTTTACGAAAAAGGTTCAGATATCATAAAATGAATGAAAAATTCAGTCCGACTTTAAAACAATGAAGTTACGCTTCATTTTGATCACTAAAATATTGGCGAGTTATCGTCACAAAAACCAGAATAACTACTTAACCAATCATTTCTCAAACAGGAAATGTTTATACATTAAGTTATAGAAATATTTACAAATCGAATTATACGATGTCTTTTATTTTTGGATAAACATTTTTTCGGAATATGCCCAGCCTTATCAAAATAATTTATGTCTCTAGTATGAAAAAAAATTGAGTTGGTGCCTGCTGTTTTTTTTTGAAAAAGTGGCTCAACTCAAATGGTTTTAAAAATGTGAAAAATCATACATAAATTGAAGTTATACTGACGCAAAGTCATAATAAAAATGCTTCTTTAAATTAAACATGGCATAAAATATATTTGTCTTTGTCACGTGATACATTGATGGATTCGTGAAAATGCTTTTGAGGGTTACTAAGTTGAAAAAAATGAATGAAGGGCCCCTTAAACTATTTGTAAATATTACCGTTAGGCATGTTGTTTCTGTGGAACTTGTCTCCAAAATGTGAAAATCTTATTGAATTCTTAATAAACACTGTGTGAGATTCACTTCCAGTTATCAATGGTCTAAATTACAGAAAAAGAATATTACAAATTATTATGATTTTTACAAAGATTTTTTTGACGGAAATTTTGACTAAAGAAACGTAATTAATGCTAATTTGGAAAGAAGCTCCGAAATAATACAGTTTGGTATATAATCTTGTCAGATATGCTTAGAAAAGATTTTAGGATGGATCTTAATTTAACTTCATGAAGTTGTTAAATCTCTTAGAAACACTAATTAAAAGTTCCCAAGTCATGCTTTTGAAAAATTTTTCCTTATCACTAATATAAAGATGTTATAAAATTATTATTTAACGGGTTTTAAAATTTGTGAATGTAAGTTCTTATAGCATTAGACTCACTGTGATTTAAAGGTCTCACGCTCTCAAGGTAAAAATCGATAAGAATTTTGTAAATTTACTTCATAAGAACCAAAGCTGACAAAATGTGAGTATAGCGGTATAATCTAATTTATGAGACTGTTTATAATCAAACCGAATCTATGTGGACTTTCAACTCGAGGGCGCGTCTTATAGGGACTAGAGACGTAATTTCTAGTGACCTTGGAGTTACATGCCCGGCTTACATTTACAAGATAGGGAAACACTGGTATTTTTAATTATACAATCAGATAAAGGTATAAAAGGTACCATTGGGAATCGAGCATGACCCTCTTAAATAGAGGGTCACTTGAAATTATCATCGTGTATTTGACAAACTTAAAAAATAGACATGTTTTAGGAAACTTCAAAAAAGGGTTTAAAATTCGGCAGGCAACCCACTTTTTTATGTGGAACAATAGTGCTAAATTATTACGTTAATATATAAGATTAATTTTTTCTATTTTTACTCAAAGCAAACTGACCCTCAGGTGTATTTTCTTCTATCTAACAGAATTCATAGTTTGAAATATCAAAGGTCTACAACATTAAGTAGCAAAGATATAGGGATTAGAAATATAAGTTTGTGAACAACTAAATTCATTTAGACTTTCTTATCTAACAGATGTCATGGTTTTAAATATCAAAAGTCTACAACATAAGCTGGCAAAGATAAAGATATCAGAAAATTATAATTTTTGACGAATGTTCAGTTCTTTTCGTGTTTTATTTTATGCTTCTTACAAAGTGAGTAAAAAAGTGGCATTTTCTTTAGTTTACAAACCAAAATGAATATGTTTTAGAGTTCATGTTTGGGGTTAAAAAATATCAAATAAAGTGGGACAAATGCTAAATATTTTTTTTTTAACACAAGCAACGTGGAATTAAATTTTGTGACATTTTTTATTTTTTAACAAATGTATTCTAAAGTTTCATAAAAATTTATTTATGAAGAAAACATAACACGCATTTTCCAATTGATAATATTTTTTTGCATCTTAGTAAGTATCTACATTTCCAAATTTGTCAACCTAAAACATAAACCTTGCCATCTAAAGTTATGACTTCAAATATTTAAATAAACATAGTCCGCATAATAAGTTTATTTTTGTTATTATTAGTAAATCATTTGCTTTAAAACAGAAATTGCATATATAAAATTTCTCAAATGTCGTCTTCCCTTTCCATAGTTTTAGTGGGTTCCATCGAACATTGGCAAATCAAAAGCTCAGAAACATTCAACGTTCAACGTTTACGTTTTGAAGAATATAACCAAACGTGTCATATTATTGTAACGTAACGCACATTTTACGTTACATTACATTATCGTTGACATCTCTAGGGCCCCGTACCTATATATCAAAACAATATTTTACTGAAATATGTAATGTTAAACATTGAAAATATTCACCAAGATAAATTTAAATAAAGTTAAATAAAACTAATAACGAAATGGATTCCAGGGAATCAGGTTCAGACTAGTTATTCTGTTGAAACCAATTATCTACTTTATTCATAAAGAGTGGAAGAAAAATAAAAATATAGAGCACAATTTATTACATGGTTTGTTTTATTTTGTATCCCGGTAGCACAGATTCATCAATATTCACTAACTTTAAATACAATAACTTGGAATAATATTATTCAAGGAAAGTTATATTATACAGATATGCAATGTAGTCCAAATGAGAATCAACAAATGAAAACAGATAGTATCTAAAAAAAAATTTAATTATCTTATATTTAATTTTCATACCTGAAAAATATGTATCTAGATTAAAAGTTTTTTTTTTAAAGTGTTATAATTTGGAGTTAAACTGACACAAGGTAAAAAAATCCAAGTCAAATTGATTTATTTTTAATTCCCTGTCTTACGAAAATATCATTTCTTTTCTGTTCGATACATACCTTGACATGTTTGTTATGATTAAAGTATGTTTATTGTTGGAAAACAGTGTTACGTCTATTGTACGTACTTTTATTAACTTCCCAACCTACTTTGAATGATTAATTGTAACTTTAAATTGAACACTCCACAATGAGAAATATAATACACCAACGACGTTCATGAGGTTTTCTTTTAAATTTTGATTGATGTTCAAAGGTAAATAGTAAAGTTGATCTTCATTTCTATATTTCTGATAAAAAGTTGTTTAAGGTAAAGGAATTGAGTCTTTGCCACAAACTCTGATTTTCTAATCACTATATCTTTGGAACCAAATGTTGTATACCTTAGATAATTCAAACTATGAATTCTGTTAAATCAAATAATCTGAGTTTAAAATATCAAAGGTTTACAACATCGGGTTCTAAAGATATTGAGGTTTAAATATTTGATTTTGTTCCAAAGACTCAATTCCTTTAACAATCAAATCTTTTAAAAGCCTACAGAGGATAAATCTTCCGAACTAATACTATTTTAGTTTTATAATGGAATTTGTGGGAATATACTTCCTTGGACCATTCCTAATTTGATTCAAGTACATTCTGTAAAAAGTAAGAATATTTTTAACACTTTTTTCCTCTCTTCACCTAATTTTGTGGAGGAGTAGTCTGTCGTCTTCAACTGGACACCAGGATGATATTTCACAGACAGTTTTGTTTGCTACACGGTCACTGGGCACACATCGTCCAGTCTGGGGACCATGGCCTGAAGATTCGAGGTTAAGGCATGGATATTTGAATTTGTTTTAATCTACAAGTTTTTACTTTGGAATATAACTAAAGGACCAAATGGAGAAAGATGTTTAACAGAAAATGAAGAACAAATTATGATGGATAGAGAAAAATAAAGTAATCGAACGAAATAAAGATGAAGAATAGTGTCTTAATGCTATTTAGCGGTTTAAGATGTCCTGGATTTAATTTCAGAAATCTTTCATTTTTAAAATTTAAATTTTCTAATCTAATCTAATCTTTGGAACCTGATTTAGAAAACTACAAACTTAAACATAGTTTGAAATGTCAAAGGTCTACGACATCAGGTTGCCAAGATATAATGAGTAGAGAATCTTAGATTGCTGCAAAAACTAAGTATCTCAATAATATTCTATCTATTGCATTCTTTCTTATTAATACTAAAAAATATGATTTATTTTTTACTTTTTTTGATTGTATTAAAATGGCAGAGGACTGAGCTAATTTTAATGATTGTATAAACTATCTTTGTGTTATTGTGATAGAAGGGCTCTGAACTCAGGCAAGCCGCTCCAAGTAAATCTCATTTTAGATTAAAGAAAACAATTTTAAATTTCTAGCAATAGAATATACTTGTTATTCTCAGACTTGGGAAAAGTACAATTGTATTTCTATTTTGGAGTTGAATAAAAAGATACAAGAGGACGGACATAATGCACTGTGTACATATATATAGGTTACTTACAGGTTATAGATATAGAGATCTTTCTTTTATCTCGTTTTTTACATGGCTTTTCGTTTATTTTGTTAGTACGAAAAAGACTGTGTATATGCCAATGTTAAAATTACTCCTATTTCTATTATAATAAGGATATCAGATATTGTATTTACCCTTGACATACATTCATCTATATAATAAAACAATACATTCGTATATATTTATATGTTGCCTATAGCCGACCAAACGGCTGGACCAAATGGGCTAACATTTTTTGTGGACACTCAGGGGTGCCTGGAGGCTAAAAAATTCGATTTTTTTTTCAAAATATTTTTTCAATTTTTTTGCCACTGGCTACGCTGGGTCGTTTAGCCAGTATTTGAATAAACGTACAAAAGAATTTATTAAACATAACTCAAAAATTATTTAAATTTTTTTAACATATGCCTCCCAATTCAGACAAAAATCTGGGCTATTATACCTACATAAGTTATTATTATTATTATCATTATTATTATTATTATTATTACTTTTATTATTTTTAATATTATTATTATTATTATTATTATTATTATTATTATTATTATTATTATTATATATTATTATTATTATTGATAATATAGATTTATTATTATTATTAGAAAAATGAATAATTATACAGATAGCTAGATGTTTTAGATGTATTGAACATGCTGTCTTTTAGACAGATGTTAAGTCTGATATATGAATCTTTATCTCTTTTTGGCATGATCGTCACATCTTGCATTTTTTAGCGTACTTAACATGAGTCATTTTCAAAAATAAATCGCTTTTTACATTTTAAATCTTTACACGGGATGATTTGAATTCCACTGGAGTGATTCAGATATCCATCCAGGGGGATTATAATTGCACTGGAGAGATTCAGAGATATCCCCCTGAATGGGTATCTTACTCCCTCTTGTGGAATTTTAAACCCCTTGGAATTATACCAGAATCCCTCCAATGTTATTTAAAACCCCTGGATAGATTTCTGAATCCCTCCAATGGAAATTAATAACCCCCTGGATAGATATCTGAATCCCTCCAATGGAAATTAATAACCCCCTTGATAGATATCTGAATCCTTCCAGTGAAATTTAAAATCACCTGGGAGGAAATCTGAATCCCTCCAATGGAATTATAAACCCCCAGGAAGGATATTTGAAACCCTGCGTTAAGTTTGAAATTGTAAATAGCTATTTGTTTTTCCAAAATCTAATTTTTTTATTTAAAAATCATACATTTTTTTCAAAATTCGATTTTTAAAAATTCCACAGGCAACGCCAGGCACTTTTAGCTAGTTTTCTATAACATAGCTCGTAAATATTTGTTTGTTTATATGTTTTCTATGGCTGGTCAAACGGCTGGACCGAATGGACTGATCCCATGGTTACTCTGGGACTAACGAAGGCAAAAAAAATTTGAAATATTTTTTTTTAGAAATGATTTTTTTTTCAACATTTTTTTTTCAAAAATCATTATTTTTAATAATTTTTTTTCCAAACTCGAAATTTGTTTCTTACCACGGGCAACGCTGGTCACCTCAGCTAGTTCAGTAATAAAGTGTCGTACATCCTTTTCATTTAAATATGTGCTTTGCTTGTCCGTTTATCTGTCTGTTTGTGTCCAATAAAAGTCAAAACGGCTGAGCCAATCGGGCCCTAATTTTATTTGGGACCTCACATGACCCCAGGAAAGGTTTATGGACTATCAAAGCTTAAAACTTGCCTCCAAAAAAATTGGATTTTCATTAAATTTTAATTAAAATTGATTTTTTTGGGGAGTTTTGAACTTTTGTTGAACAGTGAATACAGAGAGAAAATGTTTACAATTTCGCTTTGCGCCCTTAAAGCCTATTATTGAATAAAAACAAAAAGAAAGATGTTAGTTCCTATTATACTTATCCTAATTTTCATTAATATGCATCGCAGAACTCTATATATACCACCACTTATTAAGATAAGGAATTAACTCATTTTGTTAATCGGAAAATACTTTTTAGAGACAGTCAGCGGATCAATATATTATCTTTTTTTAAAGTTTTATCCTAGAATAAATTGAAGAGAGGCATTTCAATATAATCCTTCTTATAAAATGAGGAGCATATTATAATAAGTAGTAGCTGTAGACTTTTTATATGAATACGTGAATGTTTTATTTGAATGGTTAACAGACCAGAAAGCGTTATAAGAGATAAGAGCCTGGCAATAAATATAATATAAGTATGATATATAGCCTGACACAGTAAACCAATGCATACAATTTTTAGCTTGTAAAAAAGCTGATAACGGTTCTCAAATATTGATTAAAGTTAAACTTGAAAGTAGTTTCGGTTAATAGTTAAGATTAATTATTGTTTAATTCGGAATCTAAAATAAGCCCTACTTTTAGCCAGGTTCTGTCTTGGTATACAAGATTGGGAGGTTTCTTCTACATCATCATCCACAGTGCAGAGTACACTCGGTAGATCTCGAGGATCCTAAATAACTCAGATTGAAATACTTTTTCTTTAACTGCCATCGTTGAACTTAAATGAGTAATCGATAACTTATCGAGAGTGAGTGACAACTTATCAAGTCTGATCACTTACCGTGAGAGGGTGACCTTATACCACTTACCGTTGAGTGAGTCGGCACTGACCATAAGTAAATGATTACAGACCATAGACATATTTACCAGTGTATGATTTTTGTTTGCAGTAATTCCAAGTAAACAATACTTTTTAAAGTGATTAAAGGGAGTGTTCGCAAAACATGATATGGGCTGATCCTGAATTAAATTCGGTTTTGATCGCTACTAATTTTACTTCTATCTGGAGCATATTTAAGGAGAAAATTTTCCACCTTTCACCCCCAAGCTACTCATGGTTTTAACAAAAATTGACGAAATTCTCTGACAAAAAATTCCAAGAACTTGACCTTGAACCTTCAAAGATTTAAAGGGCACCTTTGTAAATATATGGCTGTCTTTACATGGCCGGTCACTTGAAATTACGTTAACGTCGCTTAAAAGTAATTTTGATTGAGATAAGTCCACAATTTATTTTCCTCAAACTATCTATTCTGCAAACAATCATATTTCCAACAATTTATTAGTTTTTTCTCTTTCATCTGGAGAAAGGAAATTATATATTTTATCCTTGTAAATTAAATATAGGCCTAGATCTAAACAATCATATTTCCAACAATTTATTAGTTTTTATCTTTCATCTGGAGAAAGGAAATTATATATTTTATTCTTGTAAATTAAATATTGGCCTAGATCTAAACAATCATATTTCCAACAATTTATTAGTTTTTATCTTTCATCTGGAGAAAGGAAATTATATATGTAAATTAAATATTGGCCTAGATCTAAACAATCATATTTCCAACAATTTATTAGTTTTTATCTTTCATCTGGAGAAAGGAAATTATATATTTTATCCTTGTAAATTGAATATAGGCCTAGATCTAAACAATCATATTTCCAACAATTTTTCAGTTTTTTATCTTTCATCTGGAGAAAGGAAATTATATATTTTATTCTTGTAAATTAAATATAGGCCTAGATCTAAACGAAACGAACGTTCCGTTCTTACCTTTTTTAACAGTTGGAACTAACCGTTAACGAAACGATTAGAAAAGGTTGGAACGTGCCCAGCCCTAGCTACACATAGCTTCATTTGTTCGTATGACTATTTGTTTTGATCATAAAAAAATCTTTAAAATTGTTGAACTGAATAAGTCCTGAAATCCAATGCAAATATGCATTGCAAACGTTGCATTTTAAAATTGTACATCTCAGTGTATGCATTTCAATGTAAATAGTATCAATGTAAATAATGTACTTTTTGGTGTGCATTTTCTTTGTCAGACGATAGTGGACGAAAAGAATAGCTATTTTATCGTAATATTTACCTCAGGACAATACCCCCATGTTTGGTTTGGAGTTATTATAACGTTCGTCGTTACAAAGAATGCACCATTTTCTGCTGGTGGGATTACATAATCAGCTTCATCCCAAACTCGTTCATATCTTTATAGTGCCGCCATCTTTCTTTTTGATCCAGATACTTTAGAACTGGGAATTATACCAGTACTAGGACAACCGTGCATGGGACAGACAAGCTAATATGGGAATGAAAAACGTAGTACAAGGACAAACGTGGAACAAGACTATACGTAGGACAGACACAAACGTATGATTAAAAACACGTCCAACGACCATTGGATAGAAAAACGTGGGACAAAACAAAAGTAGGACAAAACAGGGACAGAGGTAAAAACAATCATAACAATTTAATTGTACTGTCCTACGTTTGTCCTCTTCTACGTTTGTCTTTATGTACGTCTGTCTTTGTGCACGTTTGCCTCATGCACCAAATACACACGACAACGCTTTGAACTTCATTGACAAATGTTTTATGACAAGAATCCCCCATCCCATTAAAGACTTGAATTCAGTTAATTCAGTCTATTAATCAAAACAATTATCCACTTAAATACGTTTGAAGACTACTTGATTCCATTTAAATCATTCAACCATCAAACTTAGAATAAAAGAGCAATGAAACTAAAACATTGAGTCGTTGAATATAATCTTAAATCATTAGAGGTAAGGAAAATATTTGTTATGATTTGTTGAAAATCCACCTTCCCCCAAAACCAAATTAATTTAAAATCAGTGAATTTTTTAGTTTTATATGTTTAAAAAAGACGGCTTGTTAACAACATATGAACCTTAAAAGCTATTCTTGCTAGATAAAGAGCCTTATGTTGTTAATTCAAATATGTAATCATCTTTACAGAGCTGGGAACTTTAGAATGGTGGATATCAGGATTAACACTTAATCCTCTCTTTTTGCTAATCTCGAGACTAACATAATCTCGAGATTAGCAAAATCTTAAATAGTTATTTTTTAACAATGTGTCATACTTTTCTATTTCTTTAAATGAATTAAAAAATGATGAATAGCTTTCCTTTTGCGAACATTTTCTTTGACTTGAAGATCTCCAAGATATGATATCGAGTATCCTTTTACCTTAATAAATGCATTTCAGGATTTAAATTTATTTTTAAATTGTATTATTGGAAAGGCATTTTTGAGTATAGGAAGACTTATAATGGATAAATGGAACAAGATAAAAGGTTTCATAGAATATCAGCGGGATTACTTTTATGTGGAAAAGTTGAAATATTGTGGAATATAATTCCCTAGTTTTTCCACATCTATTTTTCACAAATTTTCAATCAGGAGGAATAAAACTCAATTTCTTTCTATCTTGCAAAATGGGTCGGGATGCACTATGCACGGCAGGATTGATTCTAATGATACAAATATATTGGCGGGGGGGGGGGGGGGGGGGGGGGGGGGTAAGGCGTTAGCAAGCATATAAATCCAGGATGTCGCAGGCCTTTGATATTTTAAATCAAGAATTCTTTTAGGTCATACAGACTAAGTTTGAAATATCAAAGGTTTACACCACAGGTTGCATTTCAGTTTGTGCCAAAACTCAGTTCCTTTGCAAATTACCTTTGTGGTAACTGAAGATTCAATTCCAGCAAACTCTTGATATCCCTTGGCCACATACAGTTGATAAAGGCCTACATAGAGAACTATAGCAAGCTGGAGTCCTCGGCGCAGTAGACCAATCCCAGTATTATGAACCTAGTAATCATAATATTATTGCAAAATTTAGCCTTCGAGCTTGATATTCAGAAAGCGTGATTTACATAACTTGAAGCATGCGTGAATTCCCGTAAATTAATCAATTCAGGCTTTATATTTTGGTTCTTACGAATTTCCGCAATTTTCTACTATACAAAAACACAATTAGCTCCACATCATCGTTCTCAGATAATAGTTTTTGTTTAAATATGATATCCTCTCATTAACTTTTGAATAGGCAGTCCCATTTTTCATACAATTTCAATTACTACTTTTGAATGCCTTTGTTCATTCTTTTGCTGAGCTCGAGTTTAAGTTTCATAATTGTGTAACTGTAAAAGATTAATTCTGTGCACAGCTATAGAATTGCATTTATTTGTGTTTTTTGTTTGTTTCAGTGATGATTGCCTGTCTTTATCCAGATTTCTGTATTTGACTGTTGTCTGTCTGCTGGTGTGTGTGTGTATGTTTTTCAACCTGATGCTGTACATCTTTATTATTTAAAATTTTGACTTTATATCTCACAGTATTCTAAGTTTAAAATATTAAAGGTCTACGAGAATGGATTGCAAATATATTTAAATCAAAAATTTTAGTTCTCGGCGCCCCGCAACACTCTAAAAGTTGCATGATTCGAACCGGTATAACATGTACTGCATATACATTCAGTCGCACTGTCCAGTCTGTCTTGACAACTCAGCGTAAATACGACCTAGCACGTTTAATGCAACAAATGTAGCCTGGCAAGATTTCAGTAGATCGAGTTTAAGCGTTCTTCTGTCAGCCATTTAAAGGGGTGGAATACCCCCCCCCCCCCCCCGCCGTGATAGGGTTAAAGATAGAGCAGCATAACAATATTATAACTACCAGAAAGATGGGCGCGAAGCGCCTAATTACTCTAAGTATAAATCCTAACCTTTACTACTTTTGGCGTTTCATATTCAATCATACTGGAGAGACATCCAGCAAGAACCTTCATTCTTGTCTGAACAAAACAACATCGCATTACAAGTGTCATCAATTGTTACTTTATATTAAGTGTCCAATATTCTTCTGCAAAAATTCACACCATTCATTCATCTGTATCCATCCTATTCAGTTATTCATCCATCCCTTCATTAACTTATTCATCATTCATCATTCATATATGCATTTGTCTGTATCTTCAACAATTTCGTATTCAATGTCTGTTATACTTCATACACTTACCATTATACCTGTTCTAAGACTGTCAAAGTAGAACTTCTTTAGAATTTATTTTTAAAAATCGAGAAATTACTGCAGACATTGATTCAAATGAAAACATCAATTTACTCCAAAATAATAGAGATTTTGAAATATTGTATTTACCAAAATGTTTGCATTAAATTTCTTACATAACGATTCATCATTAGATTTTTTAATTCTAACTTAAAAATGCATGTTTGTGCAGTTAAGGTTTCGTAAATATAACGACACTTGGAAAAATTAGGTGGCATCGAACTTTTAAACTAAAAAAATACAATTTTTTAAGTAAAGAAAAAACCGAAAAATACATTAAAATACGTAAGATAAAAGTTAAAACACTAAAAACTGAAAAAATATTTGGTATGCAATTTACGAAAATATACGAAATTTTTAGGTTTGCCTAAAACTTTTAAACTCTAATGAAAACCTAAAACTTACAATACGATCCTTTATCGATTGAACTATATCCGATTGAACAAACTTTCAATTTCAAGCCTTCTGCAGTCCACAAACCTGTTTTTATTCCATTTGAACATTAAAGCATTTGAACAATTTAAAAATGCATTCTGTTCAAAAAAAAACTTTATAAAAATATTTTATCGCTTGGGCATCGTGAGATCACGTGCAGTATAGTTCAAACTGCAGTAGTAGTAGCATTTTAATCTTGATATCCACAATTCTACAGTTTTCAGCTCTGAGGCCGAATTTAAAGAATTTGAGCCGCGAAACCCGGTTTAAATTAAACGCAGGCTTAAATCTTGAAACATTTGATACAATTTTAAGTGGAACCAACCATATTTAGGCCGCCGCTTAAATCCTTCAAATTCGACCTCTGGTCAATTATCGATTACATATGTTTTAACACGGAAAAAGGTCCTTAATTTTAAATGAACTAATATTGCTGGAAACCTTATTGTTATGTGGCTGATAATGTTATACCCATTATAATATGGGGCTTAAAATAAATTCAAAGAGCTATAAAGGATAAAGGATTGCAACTCCTCTGGGAGACTAATATAAAATTGTACATTAAAAAAAACTGGGATTAAGCCAACAGCATTTATGAGGAATTTTTTCTCTAGACCTAATATACTGTGTTGAAATTTCCCAAGTCACTCTTAGGATTTTTTTTCTGGGATTTTTCTTCTCGGACATATTTTTTTCGGGACTTTGATTTTGATAATCTTATTTCCAGGCGCACAAGTAGACATTAAGCAAGGCGCAAACAATTCCCCCCCCTAAACCTTTCCGGGGGGAGGGGGGGGGGCAAGAAAAATGTGAAATATAGTCATACTCAACCAAGAAAAAACTACCTTACTAATTCAGGATATTTTGGGGGGAAATTTTTATATTTGGGGGCATTTACTCAGTTTGGTGCAAACTTAAGTGGGAAAAATCTTAAACTATTTTTCAGGGGCAAATTATAGTTTTCGGGGGCATTTTTTTGTTAGGAAATCATATTTGATTTTGGGGCAAATTAGATTTTTGGGGGGCTTTATTCAGTTTGGTCAATTTTGTGTATGGGAAATTTAAAATTTAATATTTTGGGGTCAAATTTTTTATTGAAGAGCATTTTTAAAGTATAGAAATGGGCACTTTTTAAAAAAGGATAAGGTTCGCAACTAGACATTCAGCTAGGGGGGGCAAAGCGAAAACAGTTTGTTTTGCCTCCCCCCCTAAAATTTTTTAGGGGGGAGGGGGGCAAGATTTTGTAATTTTAGGGTAAATTAAAAAGCAAATCAGGAATTATTCTTATTTTTCAAAGATAACTGTAGCCAGAGAAAAGGCCGATTTGACGTTCAGAATTCCGGCATAATTTGTATGATCTCTTTGTATAGACACCATTTCTACGTTTTGTCATAGTCAGGGATTTTTATAATGTAATACATTTTTTTTAATTGTAGAATTTTGTATTTATCTTATTTGAAGCTAGCAAAAAATTTAGCCTTAAACGGCATACTACTTTAATAGGCAAAAATAATTGAAACATGTTTAAATTTTTACGTAAAATAACGAAATTACTCAAAGGAATTGAGTCTTTGCCACAAACTCGGATTTTTAAATCCCAATTTCTATAAAACCGTAGACCGTATATATTTCAAACTACGAATTCTGGTGGATCAAACAATGTAAGTTTGAAATATGAAAGGTATGCATCATCTGGTTGTTGAGATTTAGATATTATAAAATAGGGATTTGTGGCAAAAACTCAATTCATTTGGAAAATTCACGTTTATAGATATTAAGATTTTTAAATCAAGCCCAAAATTTCTCTGAAAGTTTGCGGGAAAAAAACGCATTTTAATTGAATCAAAATAGAATTACATTCAGAAGTAAAACCATTCGCAAACTTTTTTTTTAAATGTTTGATTTTGAAACAAATTTTATTTAACTGTGAACCTTTAAAAGGAAACCTCAAAAAATCAATTTAATTGAACCAAGAGAGATTTATATTCGTATTCTTATTTAGGAAAATAAAAAACTTCCAACAAACACGCAATAAAAACATATATTTCTATTGTACTGTGTGTATTGTGTTTGTGGTTATGTACATTACTTGTTCACATGACAGACTGGGGTGTGTTTACTTGATAAACACAAAAAAACATATTTTTTATTTAGCAAGATCTCCCGTAATATTTTTCTACCCGCCGTTTACCCGTAATTTTCATATACAAGTCGACCTACTCAACTTAGAAACTCAACTTAGTAACTGAAAGCTAAGAACATTCGGCCGTGGCTCTCTCAAGTTACCCAATCAAAATTTGAGGCAAATTGGTCTCGGGGCTCCTGAATTATGATCGGACAAACAAACAATTCAAGCAGACAAACAGACAACAGAGATTACAACTTTATATATAGATGCAAGAAACAAAGAATTTTCATATTGTGATGAAGAAAAAGAAAAATATCTAGAATATTTATATTTTTTATTGATTGTTAAGTGTGCTTGTGCATAATAGTAATATTTATTAATACCATCTATTCTATAGTCCCCAATGTTTCATAATTCTGCTTAATCATCTAGAAATATTTCTAAAGTAGTGTTAATGAAAACAATTTATTTTATTGAAAATATAGGTTTAACGACACCCCAAATATTGATAATGCTCAAGATTTGGAGCATGATTACCAGATACGATGAGGCTTTATACTTTGTCAAATCAAATTATTAAATAAATCATTTAAAGATTATATTCATAATATTCGTCATATTCTCTTTCAGGTCGTCTATACATTCTAATCCTTGGGTAGCTAACTAGCTATAATTAAAGGGTGTCGCTCCCAAAATAGCATGAATACTGAAATTCCTAATTACTAAGGGCCTAAGTTCACAAAGTTCATAACCAAAATAAGAACCTATCAAAAAAATTGCAATTTCCAGGTTGCATGAGCAAGGGAAGCGGGGACCCTGAACCAAAACATTGGCTATTGCTATTGGCTATGGTAGGTTTAGTGCAATCAAATTGCGATTTGCCAAATCGTTATATATACTTTGCTTGTCTGTTTGTTTGTGTCCAATAAACGTAAAAAAGGCTGAATCGCGCGATCGGGCCAAAATTTTCAAAAATTTGCCTCTGACAAAATTTGTTATTGGAAAGTTTTGAAAATCCACGAAATTTTTTTTTAATCGGCGAATTTTACTTTTTGTTTGTTTTGCAATGTATACAATGAGAAAATGTTTACAATTGAAATAGCCTAGTATCTTTATATTTAAGTTATTACTTGAAATAATGATGAGTTCGTTTAATGTACACTGTTAAACTTATGTTGCTTATTTTGAAAGCATAATGAATATATATAATATAATATAAATATATGATATGTGATGCACCATATAGTTTAAACGGTGCTCACAATAAAATTGATAATAGACCTTTTTTTTAAGGCAATCTGTAACGACTAACATTTAATCATGTAATTTGTCTTATCTTTACTTATTCTTTAGACAAACCCTAACAATTTGCCTCGGTGCCCGTAATGCGTAAAATAATGTAAAAAGTTTATCAGTTTAACACACAACACATTGATCAATGCATACATTTTTTTAAAATCTTATACGTACAAGCTTTAACTTGATCTAGTGAAATTTTATGAAAATTGCAACTTAAATGCACAAAATTTAGTAATATTTGCTGGGGGGCAAAACGTTATGGCATTGAAGTCCAAATAGTTCTTGTGGCTCATGGCTGACGGAAGACAAAAAGCTAATAAGTGGCATTGAAGGGAAAATAAATATGGCTCATGGCCGCTTGCCATTCCCCCCTCTTTCCGAGTTTTTCGTACAGGGTTTCATTTTAATTGTAAAACAGTTGCTCACAGAAAAGTCTCTCGCCAGATTTGAGTGGCTCAGTTACATTTGCTTTAATACTTTTAAATAGGTTCAGATCTAGAATATCGGCCAGAAACGCCCCACAGGCCACAAAAAAGTGAGGGTTTGGAACATATTTTGCTAACTATCTGTGGGGCTAGTGGGGCTTTATGACCGTATCTCCCTCCCTCCCTCAAGGAAACAGATTTACATGTTTATTTGTGTAAGCATAAATCAAGATAATTTGCTTCTCAGTGACACTGGATCTAGTGTCATTGAGTAGGACATTTTCTCGATCCGTACCTATTCAAATAAACATTTAAAAATATATAGGATTTTTTCCAGGAAGATTAATTAACTAAACTGAAACTGATAATGGGGGGAAATTTTTTAAATCCCATGGTTAAAATCGGATGCAGTGTAACATATACACAGATGATGGTTTGAGATTTTTTTTTTTAAATGCTAGTATCTTACTAACTATGGTGTATTGATTATACCATTAAATTTCTTTTT